GAGGCCATTACGTGCCTTCTGTTGCCTATCGTGTGCTGCAGGGCAACCAGCGTGGTGACGGCCCCGTGATCAACCTGAAGGGCGTTGCTGTGGGCAACGGTCTGACGGACCCGTACACGCAGTACCCCTACTACCTCGTCATGGCGTACGAAGGGTGCGGGGAGCAGCTCGGCGCGCCGTGCGTGAACCACACGATTCATCAGAAGATGTTGTCGATGCTGCCGCGGTGCCTGCAACTGATCGAGCAGTGCAACGCGTGGCCGACGGATCAGAACGACGCGTGTGCGGATGCACATCCATACTGCACGGAGATGGTCTATTTGTATCGTGTAACGGGGCTCAATACCTACGATATTCGCAAGCCATGCATCGGAGATGAGTTGTGCTACCCATCTGGGAATATGATTGGCTTCTTGAAGCGGGCCGATGTGATAAGCGCGTTGGGTGCGAAGAGCGACATTGTGTGGCAGGAGTGCAACATGGATGTGTACGCCATGTTTGCGCGCGATTACCACCGCAACTTCAACTACACCGTTCCACCCCTGTTGGCTGCTGGCATCCGTGTGATGATCTACGCTGGCGACATGGACTACGTGTGCAACTGGCGTGGCAACAAGGCGTGGGTGACGGCGCTGAACTGGCCTGGGAAGGCCGCCTTCAACGCCGCGTCGGACGTGGAGTTCCGTGTTGGAGGCCGCGCCGCTGGACAGGAGCGGAAGTACGGCAACTTCAGCTTCGTGCGTGTGTACGATGCGGGTCACATGGTGCCGATGGACCAGCCGGCGGCCGCCCTCTATTTGCTGAAGCAGTTCCTTCGCAAGTAGACGGCATCATCGTAAGACGCGTACGAGGGCGAGTCGCGACATAGTGATCCCCTTCCCTTTCCCCTTTCCCTTTTCTGTTCTTGACTTGATTGCTGCTCTTACGAGTGCGAGGAGGACGCACGTGATGTGTGTCATAAAGCTCTGCAATGATCGATAGACTTCTCCCGCGCCCCCTCTAGTGGGAATTGCCGGTTATATGAGTGTATTGCCGCTACCGTTTACGTGCTTTGTATCTTCATTTTCTACTTGGTATATACAACTCTCCATCCCCTCCGCCGTGTCATCACTTTTTACATGTTTAACTACAGAGAGCTGAAATCAACACATTTGTTCTTCTCACCGTTATTATTATTCTTGTTATTATCTGTGTTATTGTCATTGATATTACTACTATTATTATTATTCCTATTCAACACCGTGATCGGGGCTTTTCTTTTTTTTCCCTTTCTTTTCTTTCGGGAGCAGCTGCGTGTTGCGTCGATCTTGCTGACGTGCGTTGTCAACGTTGCTCCCCTTCTCCCCCCCCCCCTTGCCTCCTCAATACGACTGCGATATGCCCGTCTTTTTATTATTCAATAGATTCCTTCTTTGCTTGTGCGTGCGCGCGAGCGTGTGTGTGTGTGTGTGTGTGTGTGCGGGAGACTGCAGTGATGTTTATGCCTGCGTGCTCATCACGCCACGGAAGGGGAAAAAGAGAAAGGACTGCGTGAGCCACAGCCGTACTCTCTAAAGACGGTCTTTCCCTTTTCTGTTTTCTTTTCCTTTCGTTGGCAACGCCTGTTTCTGATCCACACACGCACACATCGACAGGCTGAAGTGAAACACCCTTAAACACAAAGCTCAAAATGACACAGTCCGGAGTTTTCACACTGCAAAGGCGCCGTTCTTGAGACAACAGGTGCTGTCATTTCTTTCTTTCTTTCTTCTTCTCTGGCTTCTTAGTGTGGTCTGGGGCGCGAGCTGTGTGTATGTCGCGGCGGATCAAGGTCGGTGAAGCATCCCTGCTGGCCGACGGACAAGCCTTCGTGGTCTGGCAGACTTCTTTCCGCATCTCTTCTCTAACCCTCTTTCTCGTTCTTCTTTGGTAGTCATCCGCACTCACATTTATCGCTGGCTTTTTGCCCACTGCGTGCCCTTTAAACTTGTTTTGAAGTTCGGTCGTGTATCAAACCTCGCTGCTGCAGCAAACCTGCTCGTTGTGTGTCGTCTGAAAATACCTCCAAATCAAAAACAGACGAAAGAAACAGAAGGAAAACGCGAGGAACTTGCAAACAACAGCCGCCCTTTTTGACTTTTACGGTGTGGTACAGCCCCTGCGCCTGTTGAGTTGACCTCTGCAACAGCAGCTACAGTATCACCAGCCGCTTAGAAGAGATCGAGGGCAATGGGGGAGTGCATTCTTGACCAGATAATTGGCGTAATTGTCTTCTTCCGCTTACAGGACTACTTTCTCTGTCTTGTCTGCGGTCTCGCCGCGCTCGGCGTGAGCAAGGTGCGGCCGCACTGCCGTCCGTTCTCATGGAGCGACCGCACGATTGACTTCCCATACGGCGGCACGGGCACTTTCCCGTCGTGGACGCTGCCCATCATTTCCGTTGTACCGGGTGTTGCGTACGTCGTAGGGGAAGCGGTTCGTCACCTCTGGTGGGAGAGGTGGCAAGCGGCGCGGTCGCGGGGTGGCGGGAGCGGCGTGTCCTCCCACGAAATGTCTCATCTGCGCGCGTCAGATGTTCGGCGACGCGGTGTAAGACGCGGTGTGGCGGAGGAAGGGCGGTATCGCATGGCAAGCGGCAGGAGCAAGGATATTGACGAGGAGGAAGACGCACGCGTGGGATCGCCGCGGCGGGGTCAGCCGCCACCGCCGTTCACCTCCATTGAGGTCGTTAAGGTCGAGGCATCAGCGACGGCACGCAACGCGGACCCGTACGCCTACGAAAGAGAGGAAGAGGAAGAGGCCGGTGTCCCACCAGCGCCGAAGGCCGACTCACAGGTCGCTTCTCCTCGCACCGCCACCACCAGTCCCGTCATGAAGGGTGCTGCGTCGCCGACGCTTACCGGCCGCTTCACGGGCTCCCCTCCTTCTCCCTCTCATCCTCCTTCTTCCGCCTCGCCGCAGGGCCGTGGAAATCGTGCCGAGACCACCGCGTATGGGTCGCACCTCACGAGCAGCAGCAACGACCGCTCGTCCCCGGCTTCTCCTCTGCGTCAACGCAACGGCAACGAGGCGGGCACGCGCTTCGCCGTTCCGCTGACCGCGCCGTGGCAGCGCTTCCTGACTCATGCGCACATGTGGGTGCTGACCCAAGCCTTCGCGGTCACCTTTGCGATGCTGGTGGTGGACGCCGTGAAGGTCTACGCCGGCCGCCTCCGACCTGACTTCCTCTCTCGTCTGCGCCGGGAGGGCTACACGGCGGGGTCGGTGGAGGTGGACTGGTGTGCGGTCGGCAGAGGCGGCCGGGTGTCTTTCCCATCCGGCCACAGCGCAATCAGCTTCGCCGCCTTTGTGCCCTTCTCTTTCTACGTGCTGCACACGCTGCGTGTGTTTCATAGAAGCGGGGCCTCGCTGTGGCGCGTCGTCGTGGGGCTCCTGCCGCAGATTCTGCCCATCACCGTGGCGGTGTCCCGCACACGAGATTACCGGCACAACTTTGATGATATTCTGGCAGGCAGTCTAATAGGGATTGCGAGCGCGTTGATCGCGCTGGGCGCGAACCTGGTGGTGAACGGGAAGACAGGTCAGCTGATACCGCGCCTGCCAACAAGAGAGTAAGCGTCCATTATAAAGCTGCTCAATGCGAAGTGCCTTTTTCTTCTTCTGTTTTGTTCTCTGCGTGCTTGTGTGATTGGCGCTCTCACATTCAGTGGGGTGTTTGTTTGCTCCCCTTCTGTCTATCGCATTCTTCTTGTACTTTCAGCTTCGATTTTTTCTTTTCTTTAGTTTATTCACAAGCTTTTTTTTTGTCTTGTTTTTTTTTTTAAAGATCTTGACCACCCCTTTTCTTCCTGCGTGGGGATCAATTGAACAGCCGTCAACACTGCTTCATAGTAAAGAAGGCGAAAGAGAGAGAGAGAGCACAAGAACCGAATCGGCAGTCATGCGTTCGATTTCGCAAAGTTTTCAGCCCTCTATTGCGTTTGCACACGTATTGATTTAAACTCCCGCTCGAAAGAGCGGCGATCCGCGTGCAGGTGGGAGAAAGTGTCGGACACTTCTGCGAGGACTTTATCGCTGTAGAGGCTGGTACAGTTACGTTTCCATTATGTTTATTATCTCATTGCGCCTATCGAAGCAGCTCCTGCTAACGCTCAAACTGACCAAAGCATCATCAACAACAAAAAGAACCTTCTTGCAATGAATAACGTCTGGTATTTCCACCGTCTTCCGTTCTGCTTCTCTCTTTGTTTCCTTTTCCCCGCGCAATGCGCAGGTCAACAGCAATCGCTGCAGTTTTCTAGCTTCCTTCCTCCTCCCCACATTACATTACTGCTCATCGAGCGAAACAGGAGACGAAAGAAAGAAAGAGAAAATGAGCTGTGACTTCCTCACGCATCACTTCTTTCTCTGGCGGGTGCCGGACTACCTGATGATCATCATTATGGCCATCATCGCCGCCATACTCGGCGCCGAGGTGCGCCCGCACTGCCGCTCCTTCGACTGGGGAGACCCGAGCATCGGCCACCCGTTCGCCACCAAGGAAACCTTCCCGATGTACTCCGTCGCGATTGCTGTGGTCTTTGTGGTCCTCGTGTACTTTGTGGGGGAGTTGTGCACGAGGTGGAGCCGGCCGGTCGGGAAGCTGAGTATGTGCCTGCACATCAACGGCTGGGTCGTCACACACGCCTACAGCATCCTTCTCGCCTTTGTCTTTGTGAACGTGTCGAAGGTGTACGCCGGGCGGCTGCGGCCCGACTTTCTGGCTCGACTTGCGAAGGAAGGCATCACGGAGGCGAACGTTGCGTCGTTCTCGCACGACCAACTCTGCCGCGCCGCGCGCAACGGTCGCCTGTCGTTTCCGTCCGGCCACAGCGGTGCCTCCTTCGCGGGCTACGTCCCACCCTGCCTGTACCTCATGGGACTTATGCGGACGCTGAACGGCGGCAAAGTGTGGCTGGCGACGATCGCTCTCTTTCCGCTGATCCTCCCCGTCGCCGTCGCCGTCTCCCGCACCGTCGACTACCGCCACAACTTCGACGACATTTTTGTCGGCAGCGTGTGCGGGACGCTGTGCGGCATTTTTGCCGTGCTGATCAGCTTTCGTGTCTCGATGCGCGGCGAGTGGACGCTGCGGGACCGCCCTGACGACAAACTCGAAACGCGCGCTATGTTGCGTGCGATGTTGACAGACAAGAACGGACGATCGGTGGTGATGGTAGACGCGGGTGACAACCGCCGCCGCCGCCGCGACGCCGACAGAGTGGAGAGCAGCGAGGACGAGGCGACGGTATCGTGCAGCACCTCGCGCATGAAGCCAAACGCACCGCGCCATCCGAACGCGCGTAGCGTCTCTGACCCACAACAGGAGCAGCAGCAGCAACAGCAGAGGTCGTCCGACCACGCGCAGTCGTCGCTGCTCTCGCCCGGCTCGTTGAACGGCACTGGCTACCTTTCGCCTGCTGTTTATCACGAGCGCGCCGCGAACCCTTCTCCGTCGACCCGGCACAACGAAGCGACGTCCTCTGGCTAGCGGGGCCACGACCGGCGGGAGGGCGGTGGGTCCAGCGAGAGGCGCCATAAGAACCGTCGAGAAGTGCGGGAGGAGGCCGTGCCGGCAAACTTAACGCTCTCTCCCGACCGTAAATCAATCAATCAGTGACCCTGCGGTGGTGGAATACTTCGACCTCCAATAGTAGCGTGACCCTTCGTCATATAACGGGGGACACCGAAGGGAGGGATCTCTCCCTCCAAAAACGTACTTCATGCTTTTCGTATTGCGAACACCGCGCAGCGGAGCAAATGGACCAGAATACGGCATCACAGTTGGCTGCGGGGCTTTGAAGAAGAAAAGGGAGTTGTTGCTCTTGAAATACCAATACGGGTTTTCTGATCTTCTCTCTCGCACGTTCCTTTCCTCCTTCACATGCGTCCTCTCTTGCGTCATTATTATTATTATTATTATTTTTTTTTAGACAGGTCGCAAACCTCTCTCCTCTTTCTCTTCTCCTTCCCACCGCACGCGACGTACTGCTCCTTTGCTACTTAAACGGTGTCCACATGCGAGTTAGCTTTAGTTACCCCCCTCTCCCCCACGCCGCCCGCTCTCCTCGTTCAGCTCTATCCCTATCCAGTTTTGTCCTAGATGTTCTCTCTCGGTATGTGCAATTCCACCTCATCCGCCTGACAAATGAGATTTGTATGCATTTCTCTTCTTTCAGGTACTTCGTGCTTTCGTTTGCTGCACTTCTTCTATTTTCTTTTTCCCCTTCGCGTTTGCTCCTCACAGGTGTGCGTGGTCGCCTCTTATGCGTGCAGATGTGCCACAACGACCAACCGGCGGCAGAGCGCTGCTTGGTGCCACACATCCTGTGCAATGGGGCAACGTGTTGATGTGTGTATCGATGTTGGTGCCAGAAGCCAGACCTATATCTACGTATTTGCCTCGCGGCGTGCTTTATTATAACTCCTATGACTGGTCTGAGTGCGCACTTTAGTTCGTACTATCTCTTCCTGTTTCTTCTTTGTATGTGTGTGTTTAGGCGGACTTAAAAGCGGTAATAAATCGGAGATCGTCGACGCAGCTTCTTCTTTCTGGCTTCCTGCCAGACGAACTCGGTGTTGACGAGGGAAAGAAAACAAGAAAAAACAGCAACAACAACCCCCAAGAGCAAAAAATAATTGAATGTTTGCGGTGTAATTTGTGGGCTCACTGTCTCTTTCCTTTGCTTTTAGTGTAGAAGATCATTTCTAATGAGTTCATGTATAGGAGTATTTCTTTGGTTGCTATTGGAACTGTGCTACACTGAAATGATCAGCCGTTGCGGGGCTGCTGATTTTCTTTCCCTTGCTGTTGTTGGTTGTGTGTCGTTACCCTTTTTTTTTCTTGCTTTTGTTTGCCTTCTTTCTGCGCCCCTGTTTCGCCGATTACACGAGTTCTCTACTTCCCTGGTGGCATACGGTGAGGCTGCTACACGTGGCGCATTCGTTGCCTGCGTAACATCGATTCGTGTTCGTGCAGCGCGCTCTTCTCTCCTCTCTGTGGGTCCTTCTACTTTCTTTGTCGCGTTGTTATCTTGCGTTGCTCCACCAGCTAAGCCTCGCAGCTTGCAGCTGCAGCCGCATCGGCTGCTTTAAAACTAAAAAACACGGTTCAAAACCCATCAGCAAACCTATAAAGCGCCAACAAACACACGTGCCTTAAGACGCGGCAGCATGGCGGCGCTGAATGCCACGTGCAAACGTTCTCACAGACGACACGGCGTGCCTGCAGCTGGCGGGCGATGATGCGTTGGGTTGGTGCGCCGCTGACGGCAAAGCGCTCTCACGGGTCTACCCGCCTTCTGGAGGGCGTTCTACGGCCGTTCGGAGGAAACTCACGGTATGGCACTGAGCGGACCCCCCCCCTCTCCCTCCACATCATCATTAACAAAAAAGCCAACAAAGCGCGAGCTGCCCGTGGACAGAAACTTGGCGGTCTTTACGAGCATGCGGCGTTCATCCAGTTCTACTCAAATAATTTTCTTCCTTTGCTTCTTTACTTCTTTGCTTCTCTTTCTTATTATTATTATCCAACGGCGTTATCTTTCTATTACGGCGATGCTCGCAAAGCCCCGATACGGAGCCGGGCTGTAGTGGCTGTGCTTGATGTGGTGGTACGCGGATGGGTAAGTGTGGAGAAGAAAAATGAGCAGGTACGCTTTGAGGCAGTGGACAAATGCGAGGAGTGCGATGATGAAAACACTTTCTAACGACGAGCGGACCGACTTGCACCCATGCGGACATTTCGAATGTGTACAAATGTTGAGCCTCCTGTGTGCGTGCGTGTGCGACTTTCTTTTGTTCTTCTTGCTGCTCGTCTGCCCTTACTGTTCTGAGTAAGTGCCCTGTCGTCTGGTGACGTGAGGTTTGCCGAGCTGTGGTTGGAGGTGCAGCTCTGCATTGTGTGCCGTCGTAGGTGAGGAAGGGGTGCGAGCCGGAGGAGAAGGCACCCCTCAATGCTGCGGTGCAAGGAGGAAGCGTGCGGTACTTCGCCGTTCCGGTGTAAAACACTCATGTCAACAATAATAGAGCCGCAACTCTCATCAAAGAATACGTGAAGTAGCGCCATAGAAAGATAAATAGAGAGGGAGAGGGGGAGGTATCCGCACGGTTTCCTTCAGCGGCACTTGCGTTGCGTAGGACACGCTATTTTGAAGTACAGTTCCAAAATGGTAATAATTATCATAGGTGAGCAGCGCAGTTTTATGGGAAACAAGCATACAAACGTAGAGCACGGAGAAGTCAATCGTTTTGTGGGATTACCGGCTCGCTCGCTCCTACAGCGGCGCGTTTGGGCCCACCGTTCTCAGCCTCGCACCAACTTTGGGTTCTTCCTTTTGTTCTTCTTCCTCTGCGCATCACTCCTTCTCCTTTTGTAAGAATTCTTCGACGGTTCCACAGCTTTTGCCTTCGCAGTTGTGCCGATACTCGCCAACGGGAAGCCAGGAGAAAAAGGAGAATACTCCACGCACTTAGTGCGCTGCTCTCTCAAAGCGCTACAACACCTGCATAAGGATCCGACGCAAGGACTTTTTGTTTCTGGTATCTGTGCGCCTTGGTTCAAGCACAAATCACACAGCAATGCGGTGCAGCGCTTCCGCGTGTGTGCGTCGGGCGGCCGCCGTCCACAGCACCCCCTCCCTGCAGGGTGCTGTCCCCGCGACCGCAATGCTGGCTTCCTCCTTGACGAGTTCAACGCGTTCCTTCGTGCAGGGCGCCCCACCGCTGCCGCAGAGGGTGACGGACAAGAATAACAAGGAACGCCCGCGCGGCTCTTACAGGGAGGAGATGGATAGTGAGCGCGCGCGTCGCCAGCGTGCGATTCACGAGTTCTTCGCGACACACGAGCCGAACTGCCCGGAGCCGCTGGAGGAGAACGCGTTCGTGAAGGGGCAGTTTGGCATGCGTCGGCGCTACTTCGTGGACCACCGCGGCAAGATTGATTCCATCGCGTTGGGAGCGGCCGTGGCTGACAGCACGAATGCGATGCGAAAATAATGAAGAAAGAAGCAGAGACAAGAAAAACTCGTATTATACGCCCTTTTAGAATTCGCACTTCATCTTTATGATGGTGGTGAGTGGCGCCGATATGTGTGCGCGCGGACACGTGCTCAGAGCAGATTATGTGAATAGTCGCCGCGGCGGTCGCTAGCGTTTTTTTTCTTTTGTTCGTCCCGCCTTCTCGTTACAGCTTTTTCAGAATTCCTCACTAGCTGTTACGGACGGTGGGGCACACTTTGCGCTGTGCGTGCTCATGCGCGCGCCGTAGAAAGTGCTTTGTCGTCATTTCGAAGTTCTAAGGGAAGAGTGTCTGCAGCGACGCAATACGGAGGAGGGGGAGGGGCTCTCCTCTTCGGCGTTGTTACATACACATATATATATCGCGCCTCAGTACTCCTCGGACGAAGACGTGAACGAAACAAGGAGCGTGCGTAGTTTTTTTCCCCTCTCTCTTTGATGTTTAGCTGTGTATTCTGACGTCCGCTCGACTACTGTGCTTCACCTTTCTCGCCGCCTTTCGCCCTCTTTCTCTCTCTCCCTTATTGTCCTTTTTCATTCGATGCTAGCAGGTTCATTCATCTGGCGCAAAACGAAGCGCGTACGCCGCAGCATATATAAATAAGTATTTATACCTCTTCTGTGCTTGTGGTTTTGAGCGTTGCACTTTCGGATCTCCCTCTCCCCCTCTCTGGCGGCGTTCGATCGCGCGTGCAATTAGTGGCGCTCCGTAGCGTTTTATCAGTGAGTTTTATTTTTCTTCTTGTAGCGGTAGCACGTAGCATAGGGAGCGATCTCACGCAAGTTTTTTTTCTCTTTTTTTTTCTTCCGGCTTCAACTGTCGCAAGGGACGCAACGCACCGACGCCAAGTACTGCGTTCGCGTAGCTCTGCTGCCTTTCTTCTTCTCATTCCAGGAAAGCAGGATAGCCACAGCGGCAACACACGCTTCAAAAAGGAACACGTTTTACTTTCGGGGCTCTGCCGTTTTCTCGGTCTAACAGCCGCGCTCTCTTCCTCCCCCACCACCCACACCCACTTAGTAGCTTCCTTTTTCTCCTATCTCTCCAGCTTTATCACCGAGGAAGAAAAGGCCACCATGCTGCGGCGCTGCTGCATCGTCCGCAGCGGACATGGCGATCTCTTCCCCACGAGCAAGGCCGCCGCCCACCTCAATCTACCTTTCGTGATGGGCCGCGAGGTGCCTCCTCCACCCGGAAAGGACCGCTGCTACGCCGAGTTCTGCACGCCGGAGGTGCATCGCAAGTTTCAAACAAATGCGCCGGAGGTGCACGCGGTGAAAGCCGTTTCGACACGCAGTCCTTTTAAGAAGGAGCTGCACCACTGCGCGACGGAGCGGCCCTCCGAGGCGTCGATCGAGGCTACCCTGGCCGGTGTGAGCGGCGCCTTAAACCACCACCACACGAAGACGAACGAGACGCCGATGGCCCGCGCGAACATCGCGGCGAAGCTCGCGGCGGAGCGGCATGCAAAGACGCGTGACTTCATGGAGCACAAACGTACCCCGCGCGAACGCAGCGCCAAGTACGCCGGGGAAAACGCCATCGAGTACCCGGCCGCGCAGTTCTTCGTGGAGGAGCGGGTGAACCGACTGCGCAAGATGGAGAATACGAACCCCAGCGGTTTTGTGCGGGAGTACATGCTGTGGGAGCCGAAACCGCCGCCGCCACCGCCGCCGAAGAAGTAAGTCTTCTCTTTACGAGTTGCTTCTTTCTTTCTAAACAAGAGAACAGCAGCAACAGAGCTCTTAAGACCTTTTTTCTCTTCCCCACGCACGTAACGTTTGGCGATGCGCGGCAGCTTTATCGATTCTCTTCGCTCCTGTTTTTTTCCTTCTTCCTCTTTCAAGAGTGTTACATTGACAGAAAAGGTTGCTTTTCTCTTATGGGTTTCTTTTCTGCTTTAAAAAAAGGACGTAGTTGCATTGCGTAGTAGTTTGTGTGTATGAGTTTGTATGCAAAGAAACATCAAGGCAAAGAATGGCTATGCAGACGAGTGTGTTTTTTTTTTGCCAGAAAACTCCGCTTTGCTGTACCAACGCGCTAACAGACTCTTTGTTGTTGTTGATGTCGTAGCATTAGTTTTTCTCTCTTCTCTGCACCGCATAGATGTGTGTCAACCGAGCCCTCTCGCCCTCCCAGCGGTGTAAAATATAAAGGAAAGCGGCTCCGTTGAAAGCCGTTGAGAGACAAGACATAACATGATTGGCGGCGCATCCGGCACGCGTCAGCGTATGATGCGACGACTCGCTCCCTGTATGGAAATAATATCGCTCTCTTCTTCTCCAATAATAAAAATTAATTTGGTCTACCTTTCTCTCCTTCCTTTGTTCTTGAATAATCTGCTCGATGTCGCGCTGCGCAACTCGTGCGTTGACGGCGCACCAAAAATGCTACATACATTCTGCTATCCGCCGGAACACTGAGCAGCACCGGTCATGCACGTACGACTTCTCTTTTAGCGAGAGTTTTAGTTGTGCCGTCCCAAGTAGTAGTTTAAAGCAGCTACACTGCAAGCAGTGATAAAGGAGAGTCCCACCCACACTGTCGTCTCAAGTGCTTCAGCGTGCTTTGCGAGTCTTCATCAGAATACGATTTCACATTTAATCATCGCGCTATACTCATTTTTGCAGTTTCCCTCCTCGTGCTTTCTCATCTTGCGCACCTGTGCTTTGTGCGCCTTTGCACTTTTCCAGAGTTGCCGCAGGCAACACATCTTGAGACTTCTTTTTTGGCCTCTTTGCATCCACGGTTTATCTGCCGGTTGGGCTCTCCATCTTCTGTGACTCTTTACCTGCTGCTGTCGGGCCGCACACTCTTTTGGCTCTTGTGAGTTGTGTGGTTTGTGCCTATAGACCTCTCTCTCCGTCTTTCACGCGCCCTCCATCTTTGGGGCCTTCTTTTCTGTTGTGTCTTGCCGTTGTCACTGCCTGTTTTTTTTTTTCCTCCCCTCTCCGTTGTACGCTGCGCTGTGCCGGCGGGTGGCACGGGGTAACACCACGCTCTCCTTCATCCTTCTGTGTGTTTTTCTTCCTTTTGTGGAAGGTGTTTGAAACGTGGTAGTGTGGAATATATGTGTATCGGTATATGTGTGTTTGCTCCCAATCGGGTTCTGGCTGTTTTATGTTCATCGCCGCAGGTTTATGTGCGTCTGAGTAGCTTGTTTCTATGAAAGAAAAACAATAACGTTCTTCTTGTTTGGCATTACGTTGTCTTCATTTGACTGCAGCAACGATGACAGTTCTCCAACACGTGTGCTCGATGGCGATGGTCAGCCTCGTCGTCCTTGTCATCCAGAACAGCCTGTTGGTGATCATGACGCGCTTCTCGCGCAAAAATGTAGATGCCGCCGTGAACTATCACACCTCCACCTTGGTGCTGAACCAGGAGTGTGCGAAGATGTTGATGTGCCTCATCATCTACGCCTTTGACGATGTCCGGAAGCAGTTCGAGCGAGAGTCAGCTTCCTCGTCGTCGCCGCCGCCGCCGTCGCTGGGCATCAACGGCACGATCGCAGTCGTCGAAGAAGTTAGCGGTGATGCCCCTTCGAAGCAAGCCGCATCTTCGCTCGCTAAGCTGAAAAGCACAGGGGCGAAGGCGCTCTCTTCGCCCAACGACGATGACAGCGACACCCCACCGTTTAAGGACGATGAAGCAACCGAAGTTACGGTTGCGACGGTGATGCGTGGCGCGGACAGCCGCCCTGTTGCGGTAACCTTTGGCGAGGAAGAAGGAGGTACGACGACTGCCGGACCATCCACGACGGTGCGGCGCGGCATGCGGGGGACGGTGGTGAGTACCTCACCTGCCGGATCGAGCAGACCGACGGACCCGGCCGTTAATCGACGAAGCAGACTTCGATTTGTGTGGGCGCGCACGCAGACGGCGGTGCATCTCTACGGCTCCATGCTTTCTACTGCCGTTCTGCGGCGGGACACGCTCAAGCTGTTCGTGCCGGCCTTTCTCTTCAACTTTCAGAACTTTTTAATCTTTGTCGGACTTTCCAATTTGGACGCGGTGTCGTTCCAGGTGTGGTCGCAGACAAAGCTGCTGTCCACCGCCCTCTTCTCCGTGTGGCTGCTGCATCGCAAGCTGTCGCTGATGCAGTGGATTTCTCTCGTGGTGTTAACGGCTGGGGTGCTCGGTGCGCAGCTCGGTGCTCCCAAAGGCGGGTCTCCATCGGCAGCCGCGTACACGGTGCCCACCAGCTCCACTCCCACGCCGACCCCACGGCAGCTGCTGGGGGCGCAGCGGCGCTTTACCCGGATGGTGTGGGCGCTTGGTGCTGCGGAAGGGCAAACGACGATGGACGGTGACGAGGAGCCGCAGGCCAACGCGTTGATTGGCATTGCCGCCTGCGTGCTCTCCGGGCTGTCCTCGAGCTACGCCGGGGTGTACTTTGAGAAGGTGGTCAAGACCACCAGTCCGACGCTGTCCATCCGCAATGTTCAGCTCTCCATCTTTGGCATCCCGCTGGCCTTTGTATCGATGCTGCTGCTAGATGTCATACCGCGCTGGTACGCCCAGCATCAGTGCGGCGATGCGATACACTGGAACATCTTCCGAGACCCCTTTCCCGCCGCCGCGTCCCTGCAGCACTTCCGCGACGATCGGGAGTGCCCGGCGCGACCGTTTTATTTCTGGCAGCGGTACGACCAGCTCTTAACGTGGGGTCTGGTCGCCATTCATGCCTTTGGGGGCCTGCTGGTCGCGATTGTCGTGAAGTACGCCGACAATATTTTGAAGGGCTTCGCGACGGGTGTGGCGGTGATTGTGAGCGGGATGATGAGCTCTGCGATTTGGGGTTATAAGCCGACCATGACTTTTGTGTTCGGTGCCGTGCTGGTGATTGGGTCAAGTATTATGTTTCACAAGTTTGAGCCAAAACGGTAATAAAGGAGAAGGCGGCAGCGTGTGGCGCCTTTGTTCTTCGTCTGCGTCTTCAGTTTCTTCGATGCAGGGAACCATTGAATTGGCGTGTTCGTTCTCTGTTCCCCCCCCCTTCTTTCCATTCACTGCAAAACCGATCTCTTGTGCTTCTTTTTTTTTCTTCTTCTTGGAAATACGTTGATGTGCCGCATAGGCCGTTTACGAGTCCATGTGATTACTGCTTCTATTGCGTATATCTATGGCATTTCATTTTCAAGCGTGATAAATATAAAACAGGAATAAATGTGAAAAGCTAGAAGCTGATCATGTGCAATATCGTGTTTCAACGCTGTTGGCGCATCGAGCGTGTGAAGGAGTGGCTGCCATTGTCGTCGCCATTTGTTTTTTTTTCCTAGTTGCGGGTACCTTCCTTTGTGTTGTTGCAGCACATTTTTCCGGTCTGCCATTACGCAACGCTCTATTATTATTATGTGTGTGTGGGGAAGCATTGTTAACCGCATCATCAAAATGTCCTTCTTCCTCCTTGTCCTTCTTCCTCCTGCCTGACTTTACATGCAGCTCTTGAGCAGCGGGAGAGAGTCTCGCGACGGTGCTACTTTGAGCGGACGCCATTTTTTCGGCAAGGAGACCTCTCCGTCTTTCTTTCCTTGATTTTTAAAGATTTTTGTGTTCTGTTGGATCATCATTCCAACATGCGTAGCCTTCGACCCATTTGAGCACAAGCGTCGTTCTCCATTTTTAGATATTTCATCTTCGCCATCCTGCTGTTCGGTGTTCTCCTCCTCTTCCGCCGTCCTCTCCATCGTGTTGACTTTCTTTTCTGTTTGTTTTACGTTCACGTTCACGTTCATAGATTCTTTGTTTCTTTAGAGCCTTCCCTTGCGATTGGCTTTTTTGGCATTTTCGCTCCCTTTTCCTTTTTACCGGAGGAGGGCCTTCCATCTGTGCACATGTCGAATGTGTTCCCGCGCGGTGGGCGTGGCGGGGCCGACCGTGCCGTCGCCGATCCCTCTTCCGCCTCCGCCGCCTCTTCCTCCTCGTCGCTGTTCAACGCGCGTCCGCCGCACCGCTTATCGCACGAGCTGAGCGCCGCTGCCTCGCCGACCTCACCCTCCCTCGATGACATTCGTGCTCGTCTGCACGATGTAATGCGGAGTATTGACGACACACTAGTCGAAGCGGAGGCGTCCCCACGTGCATCGGCAGCGCCACCAAAACTCCAGCCTTTCAGCGCCACACCGGCGTTTGAGGCTTCCGCCGAAGCATCATCGCAGACCTTTCGGGGACAGGAGGCGGAAGGAGGATCGAGACCTGTGCAGCGGCCTCCACCACACCTGCGTGTCACGTATCGTGCGGGCGACTCTCCATCTGCGTCCACCGCCTGGCCCAGTCCACGAGCTGCTCCGACGGGCTCCTCTGCAGCCGCAGAGCTTGCGTTCTCCGCCCCTCCTTTGGCTCCCCCAACGCGGTCTCTTTGCCCTTTTCCAGCAGCAACAATCCACGCAGGGAGACGCTACATGCCCGCCGGTGCTGCACAGGTTCGTTCGTCTTCCTCGTCTTCCATCTCTGACGAAGGGAAAGACGAGGAGTCTGCGGCGACCAGCACCACCGCCGGAGCAGGTCTCTCGGCCACGTTTAAAGCTACCTTAGATTACTGGCGAGCCGGCGGTCACCGCACGCTGCATCGTGTGCCGACAAGTGAGAAGAACATCAGCTTCTCTGCCGCTGACGTCGCCGGTGCTGTTCGGCGCGCTGCGCCGGCGCCATCTGTTACCTCAGCCGTGTCCAGCCAGACAACGGCCTCGAAATACATGAAGCCATCCACCGCTGCACGTGAGTATTTCTGCAGTGGTGGCGCTGGCACGCGGCCGTCCAACACCATCACAGACACGCTCACCAGCACCAGTGTGACCACGACGCGCTCGTCGCCGTCCCCTTCGTCGGCCTCTTCGTCTTCTGCCGCTCGAGAGGACCGGTTCGCGCCGCGACCTGCGCCATCAGCTCCGTGGGTTTCGAGAAGCCAATTCACACACCCCCATGACAACTCGGCGAATACGGCGGCTGCTGCGGCGAGAGCGCGGAATTACCCGACATCGTCGTCCATAAGTCCGGCGGGTGACGCGCCGCCTTTCAGGGGGAGCCCGGCGGCGGATCCACCTTCTACTCCGACCCCGCTGCCACACCCGTCTACCGTCCCTTCCCTGTCGGCTCGTTTGGCGGTGCTGCGTGCTACGGACGCGGTGCAGCGCAGCGCCCTGCTTCAGCGCGACGGCGCCAATTTGGCCAACCAGAGCGCTGGCGGTGGTCGGACGGACGACCGCTTAAACGACCGATTTTCTCCTTCACCTTACGGGGGCAGGTACACGGAAGTGCAACGGCACAAGGACCCGCGGGACGCTGTGGAGGCTGCCTTTCGTCGTGAGGAGGACAACAGCAGAAGAGGGCCCTTCCATCCACCGAGACCAGAGGAGGACAGTTTTCATCGCGCGCCTGCGGCGTCCGCCGTCGTCGACACGCCCCTGCCCTACCGCACTTCGCCGTACAGGAGCCACCGTCCTCCCTTCTCCCCTCCACCGCTCCAGAGCAGCGACGCTGGCGGACACCACCACAACCACGACCCACGCAACGCTCAAGCGTGGAACGGTGAAGACGGCGATCTTCAGTGCGGTACATGCGGCATCAACGCCAGCCGTGACAGCAATGCGCTCGTGCGCAGCTCCGACGGGTCGCGAGTGAACTCGCCGAGCTCCGCCGAGCGGCGCACCCGCCGAGAGGCACGGCAGGATGAAACGAACCATATCGTCGACCTCGCACTGGCGCGACAGGCAGCGGCAGAGGAGGCGTGGCGAGAGAGCCAGCACCATCTTCGACCGCCGCCTCCCCGTCCACGCAGTCTCTCTCCCAACTGTCCTTCATTGCGCCAACACACGGCGGCCCTAGTCCCTACGAGCCCTTATCGAAGGCATCAAGCGAGGGAAGGCGGCAGAAGCGGAGGTAGTGTTGAATACCCGGCCAGCACGGCGCTGCTGGATGCCATGCAGGCCCGTCTTGCTCCCTACGCCGCAAAAACCGCTATGATGACGGCAGCCGACGACGAGGACGGTGCGCTGCCGATGCAGGAGGAGCTGGCAGTGCGGGCGAAGCTCGCGGCACGACGGAGCGGCGAAGGAGCTCAGGGCGTTAGTGACAGACCTGAACACCACTCGACAGAGCTGCAGCTGCGGCAGCGACAACAACAGGATCACTACCCACGTCTGGGTGAGGTCCGCGGCACGGAAACTGCGCGGCAGCAGAAGAGAGAGGTGGAACGGCCAGCGAACGTACCGACTGACGCACCGGCCAACATTCCCGCCAGCGAGGCGAAGGAAGGAGGCCCCAACGCGCTGGAAGCCGTTCGAGCACATGCGGTACAGCTCGAGCGGCTTCGCCAACGAATGCAACGAATGCCGGCTCCCGCAAATCCTGCCTCGGCACAACCCACAAAGACAAATACGACTGTAAGTGAGAAGCCGGCAGCCGCGTTGCGAGACGTCCCGGCGAGTGCTTCGTCTGCGTCCTCGCTGAACATTCCGGAGGTGCCGTCGTCGTCGGGGCACCGCTCCCTGCTGGCCGACCCTGCGCTCATGCGCACGCAGCAGCATCGCGGCAGCTCGAGAGATGCGACAACACGGGCAGCAGCGACACCTGATGTGCCCACAAGGGCGGCGGGGCACCCAGGGACACCCCTCCCAGAGAGAAAGATGACGAAACTCTCTACTGCTGCGGCACTGACCGCGACATCGGTGGAGGTGGACTCGGACGCGGAGGGGGAGGAGGCGCCTCTGTCGGGCGTCTCGGCGAGTTCATTGGACGATCGTGAGCCGACGCCGGAGCGAGTTGTGGCGCACACGTTGAAACGGACGTCGCCGGCTGAGGCGGTCGTCAACAATGCTGGCGACGCCGCCGCCGCCTCGCGGCAGCCAAATGCGGTGCGTCGACTTCAAAATGATGGCGATAGAGGCTGTAAACCAACGAAGGCGGCACCTTTACGGGGTGCAAGGACACCATCTGCCAATGCAACGCAGTACGCTGCGTGGCTCTCGCAGAACACGAACAGCGACAGCGACGATGCGGACGCAGAAGACGCGTCGCAACACGATTGGGCCTCCGCCACACAACTCCCACCTGCACGACCACCACGGGCAGCACCTCCCCCGCCAAGCGGTCCAACGGCACAGCCAGAAGCGTCAGCATACCGTGGCGGGCAACGCGGACAACCGTCAACACAACCTACGCAACAGAAAAGTTCACCCACAGCTGCCGGCGCAGCTGAAGTGGCAGCCCCATCTTCCTTTGCCTCGCCCGCTGATGAGCAATGCCCGCAGCGGAGAAGCCGCACCCCCGTTCCATCTTCCTACGCGGAGGAGATGCCATCGCCGCCGCCAGCAAAGCCTCCCACTTCAGACGCACGCCTTCCGCAGGGAGCAGAAGGCAGCAACACGCAGAACCGCACTCCCGCAAGCGACGCAAACACGCTGAACAAACTCGGAGAGGAGCTCAAGAGAGCGCCGACGATGCGGGCGACTTCACGCCCGTCGTTGCCTATCGAGGACGCGGAGCGCGACATCGTCTCCTCCTCCCCGTCCGCTGGTCGACAGCAACACCGCGGCAGCAGCACCCCGAGTGACAACGACAGCGCATTGGATGAGGTGGCCGACGGCGGCGGTGGCGCGTGGACCCCGGCACGCCTGGCCGCCATCCAGTCCACCCTTCTGCACGTCTCTCCAACGCGGGGCACGGCGTGGCAGGATGGGTTTATATCGGCCCACCACAACAACTACGGTCCCTCCGCATCGTCGTTGTCTTCTTCTTCCTCTTCTTCCCTGCCCGACTACGGGGTGTTATCCCCCTTTGCGCCACCAACGACGACGAAGCAGAGTGCGCCGCAGTCACAGCCACTGCTGCGTTCGGCGTCGCCTTCCAACTCCCTCGCCCACGGGCCGTCTTCTCCTCCTCCAACGAAGTCAGCGCTGAACCCGCCGGCTCCCGCTACTGCTGCTGTTGCGGCTGCTGCGGCTACCAGCTCCGGCGACCCAACACTCGCCTATCGACGTGCAGTGCGACATGAGGCAAACAGACGGGCCGTCCTGCGTGCGCAGGCGCTGCTGATGGAGCACGGCGTGTCGGTAGAGGTGCAGCTGGCGGGTCGGCGTCTGCCTGCGGCGGTGAAACTGTCGAAGGACAAGAAGGAGCTGCTCTTCTTTCTCGAGCGCATGACGGAGATCTCACCGCCGTTGTCGTCGTCGAGCACGCCACGCGCGCGCTCCCTCGTCACTCCCCCACCGTCTTCGCGGAGTCGCCCGCAGCCTTTGCTGCCGGGCGGCGCACGTGGGCCGATGCCAGATGCGGGGCACTGGTCTACGGTAGTAACCGCACGGGCAACCGGCCCAGAGTCGTCTGTCCCTTCTTCGTCCCCACGACGGCAGCGCTCTCCCGTTTCGCCGCGGCAGCAAGGGGCGCTCTACTCGGTGGCCCCGTCGGTGCTCCCGCGCAGGGGCGGCGGCGACGACGGAAGGCGGGGCCCGCCCCTACAGCCGAAGCTGATGGCTGGACCTCCGCCGCCCAACTTTGTGAAGCTGCCACCTAGCGCCGTGCGGCTTCCTTCGAACCGTGTTGGCGCCGGCGCCGTGCACTTCGCACCGACGAACCAACCACAGCATCCACCGGGCCGCTTCAACAGTGCTCCTCTTCCTCCTCAGGTACAACGGGCATCACCGGCCCGCTTCCGCACGCCAGCCCAGTCAAACCCACACCCGACCCTCCTGCCGCCTGCCTCAGACCCCCCATTAAACAGCCGAGCCGCAGCGCCCTCTTCTTCTACGTCTGTCAGGGGAGCTGCTGCTGTTGCTGCTGCTGCTGCTAGGACTTCTCGCACGCCCTCACCCGAGTCTACTGCGCTGCGCCTGCCCACTCCCCCAAGGACGGTGCACGTGCGTGAGTTGCATCACTTCCCGTGCCGCCACGCGCGCGTCTACGTGCCTTACGGTGTGATGGGATACGAAGAAGACAGCGGATTTGGTGGACCCGGCACGTGGGAGGACGTGAGCGGCATCTTGTGCGGCCCGGCCAGCTACGAGGTGCTGCGGCGCTACAGCTGTCCGCTGTTTGCGAAGGTGCGCGGTGGCGACTACGTGCCCTATCGCGTCTTCGTTATCATTCCTGAGTTTCAGCGCATTGATCTCCCGCAGGACGCCGTGCTGCTCGTGCTGGACTTCCGGCAGCGGGCTGATTGGGTGCTCTTCCTGTTGGCGGTACAGCCGAGTGCGGCGGGCCACGGTGGTGATCTGGGTACCACCGCAAGGGACGGAATGGGATCGCCGACTGCTGCGTCGCGTAGCACGCGGACTCCCGTCTTGTCCTACGGACGAGCGCTGTGGATGCTGGCGGTGCAGCGACTCCAGCGTGCTCGTGCGCTGCGTGGGCTGAACCCCTTTGAGTCGCGAACGCAGACGTCACCGCCCCAGCAGCGGCGAGGGCGGCAGCTGCGGACCGAAGACGACGGCGAAGAAAGAGGGCAAGTGGGGTCAACTGACTCAGCCGCCCTACGCAGCAAGGCCGGCGCAACCACAGCGGCTGTTCAAAGTGGGCCCTCTTCCGCCCCTTCGTCGTCCCCTTCACAAACGGCGCGCGCACCTGCCGATCGAACCGCATCGCCCGGTGCGGCAGCGGCTTCTCTCCGCTTTGCCGCCCCGGCTGCCACCACACCGGCGTCGTCGCTGCTGCCACGTCGCAGTCCTCTGCGGAGCGATGCGATGCAGCCGCGTGTCGGGTGGCAGAGCGGGCAGCCGGGGCGGAGTTCACTCCGGCGCGTGCCGCTGCCTGCTGCCGCGGCGCCATCCGGCATCCCCCGCCACCAGCGGTCCGACAACGACCCTCAAGTTGTTGCTCCCCCCGGCGGTGCGAAAGGGCTACGGAGAGAAGGGGCTCGCCCACGGACGGCCACACAGGGGCCGAGTCCGCAGGGGGCGGCGTTCGCCTCCGCCCCGCCTGTCGACGCCGGCGACACTGCAGACGCTTCGCCGCTCTACGCAGAGGAGAAGTCGACGCCGCGTTTCCGCTTGTTGAGGCGCGTGGCGAACTCGTTGAGCAGCAGCAGGCGCAGCAGGCGCAGCAGCGCACCGAGCAAGCAATCGGCCGCGAAAGCAGAGAACTAATGGACGTGCGAGGTGTGTCTCTCTCTCTCTGTGTTTTCTTGTGTTGGCTTCAAAGAGGGATGGCAGATTCCTCCTTTTCTCGAACGTGCACTTCTTTTTCTAGACTATCATCCGTTGCCTCTACTTTTTTTTTCACCCCTTCGCCACCTTCCCTCAACTGTACCACTACGACCACTTCTTGGTTTGATCTACACCGGCTTCTTCGCATTAGATGGGTGCAAAACCTGCAGCCGCTGGCGTGCAACGGTGACGAAAGCTTTGCCTTTCTGACAGCACGCATCAACCCAACGAAGCCAAGCAAACAGAATAATAATAATACGAATAATAATAGAAAACACGTTCGCTATGGCTTCGACGTCAAACACATGAGACGTAGTTCTACACCGACTGCCGTTTCTCACGCAAGGCCTCTTCGACATCCGCTTACTCTTTGTTACTGCAGCTCTTACATTTAAAAGGCGCGCCATCTCTCGCGAGGACACACGTGTGAGAGGCAGCAGCAGCGTTGTTGCGCCGCTTGTGGAACGTTCGCTCGCCAAAAAAGAAAGGAACACGAAACGACAGCGAATGCACTGTGAAAGGCGGTGTGGTGTCTCTGGAGAGCTTGTATTCTATTTTCATCATCTCTTTCTCCCGCATTCCACCTTATTGTTTTACTTAAAGTGAAAGAAAGCAAATAGCCACGTGTATTTTTCTTGTTCTTAAGTTGGTGTATGCGTGTGTGGGTGCAGGCAGAACACGCTGTTTGATCGCACCTCGTTGTTCTCGCGGTGTGCAGCGCTGCGACTTGACAGGACCTTCCCCAGACAAGTGGCGAGACGGCAGAACCCCGTTTTGGTGTTCGTTCTTCAGGCGTTTCCCAGAGCCGACGCACATACAAGGAAGTACATTAGCCGTTGAAAGTGGTGTCTTCGTGTTTATTCCGCCTTCTCATTAAACGTACTCACATTATAGATCATTGGATAGACACAGATATATCTATCTATCTATCTATCTATATATATATATATATATATATATAGATATATATATATTTCTTTGCTAGCTCGCTTGTCTGTGTATGTACCGCACGAACACACACACACACACACACACACGTAGACGTTGTCTGGCTGCTTGCTTATCTTGTTGTTGACTTCGAGGCAGTTTTGACGCTTAGTACACGGTTTTCCTTTTCACAGCGAAGCCGCTCAGCTGCATAAACATACACATTCACCCATCTGCTCGTTCTCGTTGCTTTATTCTGTTGTTGTTGTCGCCGTCTCGCCATCTCTCGTGTGCGGCTTGTGTGTGCGTCAGTAATATCTGGTCGTCATGAATGGCAGCTTTAACGCACACGTCGGGGGCAGTGCGGGGCAGGGGACGCCACCGATGGGCTACAGTGCGAGCGCGAGTCCCAACGCGAACATGAGCAACAGCAGCAGCGGCAGCGGCGGCGTACGTTTTCCATTGAACTCGGCGATCTCGGCTCGACCGACGAGCGAATCCGAGCTGACGAACGATGCGCTTGCCCATCTCAGCGAATTAGCCACGGCGGCGCTGACGTCCCCAGATAAAGAAACCCGCGACGGCGCGGCGCAGCAGCTCCTCTTCCTGAGCAGCTACGAGTACTGGGACACGCTGCGCACGCTGCTACCACGCGCACAGAACAACTATCTGCGCTTCATCATCGTCAAGGCGATTCTCTTTCTGGTGAGCAACGAACTCGGACCGCAGGAACGCACGGAGGTGCAGCAGTACGTGCTCGAGTACATCCAAGAGCGGCGCCGCAGCGGCGAGGAGCTGCCTTTTTATCTGCGCAACGCGCTCTTCTCTGTCTTTGCGTCCGCGCTGTTCGGCAACTGGAAAATTGCGATCATCCGCGCCGAGTCCGCGGAGCAGATGAACTCCACCGAGATGGCCGAAGAGATCTTCGCGAAGCTGCGAAGTTACCTGACCACCGACGAGACGCTCGACTGTGTGATGGAGATACTTACCTTCTTCGCGCGGCAGAACTCGAAGCACTCCATCCTCTCCGTCAAAGGAAGCTTTGCGAAGCAGGTCCTCCCCTTCTTCTTCAGCGCGGCGGCGGATATGCTGTCCGTCTCGCCGGCGAAGGCCGCCGTGGTCTGCAGCACCGCCTTGGAGTGCGCCCCGGAGCTGGAGGCGCCGCTCATTCGCATTTACCACCCGTCCGAGGCCTCCATCACGGTGCTGCGGTGGCCGGCGTGGGCCCCGGCGCTGTCCAGTGCGATGAACCAGTGCGGACAGGCACTGCTGGAGCAGCCGGACGGCCCGTACGCGGCGGTGCTCGCGCGGCTGCTGCGGCAGTGCTCAACGGTCACGAGTCCGCAAGAGGAGTACATCGCCTCACGAGATGAGGTGGCGAGTGTGTTGCTCGACGTCTCGCAGCGTCTGCTGCTCAAGGTGCAGGAAAATCCATCGCGGACGGAGCTGCTGCGGCTGTCGTGCGCGCTGCTCGTCAACACCTTCGAGCGCAACGACGAGGCGACCGTGGAGTTCCTAGCGCGCCGCCCCGAGCTGATACGCGTGTGGGCGGACGCGACGCGATACATTCTCGACCAACCCTTTAGCGAGGAGGAGGCAGATCTGTACCAGGCGCTGCTGCACCTCTTTTTCCTGATTGCGGAGCGACTGCTTCCACCGAAGCCGCGCCTGCGCAACGCCCTGGAAGAGCCGATGGAGAGCTTCTACGGCGCGTCTACGCCGCCGAGAAGCGCAAGTCGGGAGCGGGTCGAAGAGCGCCACTCACAGTTGCAGTCACCCATGTCGGGGCCCCGCGGACCCTTGCCGAGCGACCGCGCGCGTGAGGTGGAGCAGCAGGTGGTGGAGGTCTTCAGCGTGTACATGGACTTGATTATTGACACCGCCCACCAACGCGAGGACTCGCAGGAGCTGCGCAGCGGCGCCACCTTTGTCCTGCAGACGGAACGCATGTTGCAGCCCATCGCGGAGGTGCTCTTCTGCGAACGGGTGGACCTCCTCCCACAGCTGGTCGAGCGGCTCCACCAGACGATGCACCAGTACGAGTTGTGCGTGCGGGCACGTCGTGAGCAGGCGGCGGAGCAGGGCAACATGGGCAACAATAGTAATAATAGTAGCAAGAGCAGCAGCGGCGGTGCGGGTGTGGGTAACGTGCCGGGCTACAGCGCCGCGACGCAGTCCCTGCTGCAGGAGCTGTACATTACTATGGCGATGTACAGCATGAACATGGGCAGCGGCCTGTCCGCCATGGATGCAACGACCACCCCGCTCTTCTTCACCCACGTCTGTCTCTCACGGCTCTCCGTGATTGTGTCTATTTTTGGTATTGCGCTGCTGCAGGGCACGGCCAGCCGCGATGACACCGTCCTCAGCTCCATCGCAAGCTTTGCGCGTCAGCTGCTCGGGCAGGAGGATCAGGTCACGGAAGATCTCCTGTTGTGTCTGTCGCTGTTCGACGACCCAGCGGAAGGGGATGCCGGGGGTGCTGCTGCTGGTGGTGGTGGTGACGTTTTTGGCAGCTCGGCCGGCGTGCCGGCCGGTCCCTCGACGGTGCCGGGCGGCAGCAGCGGCGGCAGCGGCAACGCGCAAATTCACATTGGCATTCTCCGCGCCCTCTTCTTCTTCTGCGGTTGCGTCTACGAGACGAATTTGTCGCGCAACGAGGACTTTTACGAGATCACGGTGAACCTGCTGTGCTACGTCTATCGCTACCACAGCGACCAGGTGGCGCTGGTGGCAGACGCGAACATGCTGCTGAACCGCATCGTTGACTACGGCTCCAGCGGGACCTATTTTCTCGGCGCGGACAAGTTGATGGGCTTGGTGGACGTGGTGAAGGAGGGCCAGCTACCGCTGCTGCAGACGCATGGCCCGGCCGGTGCTGCCGGCTTGACGAGCGAGGCCCTCGAGGCCCGACATGGCTTTCTCACCGCCTTCACCTTTTACGCGGAGACGCGCTACTACGCCGGTTTCCCCATCGCGGATGTGGTGAACACCATCACAGAACGTTGCTTCCGGGATGACCGCATGCAGGTGCATCCCCGGCTCGCCTTTCAGGATTTGATGGCGATTACAAAGGGTATTCATCAGCCCGATACGCTGCTGGTGATGCTAGAGGCGCTGCTCCGCCACAAGGACGTCTGCTCGGCCGTCGTGCGCTACGAGGTGCGGGCGGCGCCGGACATGATAGCGTGGCTCTCCGTGCTGTGCAGCCGCAGCCGTCAGTACCTGGAGGATCAAAACCTAAGCACCACCTCGTGGGAGCTGACGAGCGTGGGGATGAATGTGCTGTGCCTCTTTTTTAGCTTCCTATCGTACCCGACGTCTGGTTCGCCACCACCGGGCCAGGTTGCCGCCGCTGTTGCGAGTTTCAACGGCCAGTTTGGGGGAGGGGGCGGGGATGCGAGGTGCTGCACCGACCCACCTGTCGTTGGGGGCAGCAGCGGCGGTGACGGCTGTGGTGCGTCCTCCTTTTTCAACTTCCCCACGGATGCGGTGGATGCGTCGGTGGTGTACGACGTTGCGGACATCCTGCACACCTTCTGCACCGCGCCGTGGGCCAACCTGGGCATCGTGCTCTTCTACGAACGCACCACGTTGGAGCACTTCTTCTGTGGTGCGGTGGAGCTGCTGACGACGACGTCCGTGCAGTACTTAATGGCGGATGAGGGCCGCGCGCGGATCTTCGACGCGATGGCCGCCGCGGTGAATTCGACCGGCGACACCTTTCAGCAGCTGCACGTCCTCTTCATGCGGCAGGGTGTGTGGAACCGCCTGGTGCGTCTCGTGACGAGGTGTCTGAACTACGCCTACGCAGCGGAGTTGGTGTACTTACTGCACTCCATCCTGCGCAGCGACCACGAGGCGCGGCAACGCATCCCGGAGTACCAAGGGCTCGGCGGCTACACCTTAGCGGCGACCTTTAATGAAATTTGCACGTTGATTGCCGTGGCGCCGCACCTGACGTACCGTGAGATGACGGGGTGCTTCGACATTCTTCAGATGTGCTACGACGGTGCGCCGATTTTGTGTGGGGAGTGCGCGGATAAGCTGCTGGATTTCTGCTCTGCCTACCATCGGGTGCGACTGCGCCTCATCATCAACTCTCTGCGGCGCGGTGATGGCGAGCATCTCATGACGCAGTACATGACGTACTTCGGGCAGTCCTCTGTCGTGCCGGTGCTGAGTGCGTGGTAAAGCGGATGACACGAGGTGAGCGGGAGAGGGAGAAAACACCAAGGGGAAAGGCGCTGATGGGAACTGCGGGGAGTGCGGCGAAGAGAGGTGTTCTCTGCACGACGGGCACTGCTGTTTTTTTTCTTCTTATTTCTACCTTCTTTGACGTTGCACTACGCTGCGCCGCTCGCATCCACGTTTTGCTGCGTACGATGGGTTGGTGACGTGCAACCGCGATTTGGTTTGATGCTCTTGCCTTCTTTAATTATTATTATTATTATTGGATTTTGCTGTTGCTCTGATTGGACTCCGACGTTTCGTTCTTCTACGTTTTTTGTTTTATTCCTCTGCGTGACGGAGGGTGCCTTAATGGAAAGGAAGGGGGCAATGCGAAGGTGCTCACGTCGCGGAGGTGGTGCTGCACGAAGAAGAAGACCACAGAACCACTTTAAACCGCCAAGGCCTGATGCAGGTCTATTTTTTTTTTGCAAAGAGGAGCTCTTAAACGGAGGGAGAATAAAATGAATGAAACATCAAAAAAGCGAGGAAGTCACCTTCAACCTCGGACACCGGGTGGCTTTCAGCAGAGTCGCGTAGGACGCCCAGGAGCCGTCCGCGTTTGGCATCTATTTTTGATGATCACGGAAACGTGATGCGCGCGCGCTTTTTGTCCCGCTTTGCTCTGGCCGACCTCACTGCGTGTGTGCGTTGTCTGCCAATTTCTCTTCAACTGTTTATTTATTGTTCTGCTGTGCGAAGTAGAGCGGGCTTCTAGTGCCCTCTTTGCATGTCGCCGTTGCTATCACCTTTTTCCTCTTTGCTTCTTTTTGTTTTTTTTTCTGTATTTCTTCTCTTTCTCTTCTCTTCCCTTCTCGTCCTGCTCACGGCACGAAATTCGCAGCCGCACAAAAACGACTGTTTCTTTTCTCTTTTCCCCGCCCTATTACTGGCGACATCGTCGGTTTCTTTCTTCACTAACACGAGTAGGCGCTGGGTGCGGAGGTCGCTGAACTATAAGTCGGAGTGCGCCACCCCGCCTGAAGATTTGTGCATACATTTATCTCCCTACCCCCCTCAACATTAAAAAAAAAAACGAACCGTCAACACCGCATCTCGCACGACGATGGAGCACCGGCGGACGCGCACGGGACCGATTCGCTTCCGCAGCTTCCTGCGCAACACCATCCTCGATGTCATGCGCTGCCGAGGCTGGATTGAGACGGACAGCGAGACTGAGTGGGACTACTACTGGGCCGATGTCTCGTGGATTCGCGAGAACTACGACGGCCTCCGCTTAGATGACTACCAGCACTTAAACCACTTCCGCAACCACTACGAGCTCACCCGCAAGGATACAATGGTGCGCAATTTTAAGAAGATGGTGAAGCAGTTAGAGAAGGAGGGCGATGCGGAGGAGGTCGCGGCGTGGGATTTTTTCCCCGTCACCTTCGCCCTTCCGCAGGACTACAGCCTGTTTGAGCAGGAGTTCCGCCGGCACCCGAACACTATCTGGATCATGAAGCCGCCGGCGAAGGCGCAGGGAAAGGGCATCTTTTTATTCTCCAAGCTTTCACAGATCGCGGAGTGGCGGCGTGAGTTCAAGCAGCGCAACGGGTACCTGATCGGCGGCGGCAGCAACGCGAACACCGGCAGTGGCAACGGCAGCAACAACAATGGAAGTAGCAGCCCCGCGGGGGGCGGTGCGAGCAACGGTCCGTACTCCGCGTACGGGGCAGGGATGAACAACCCGTACGGCACCTCCGAACCGGTCGAGCCGTACCTCGCCCAGCGATACATCGCCAACCCGCACCTCGTCGGCGGAAAGAAGTACGACCTCCGCATCTACGTGCTCGTGCAGAGTTACCAGCCTCTCGTCGTGTGGCTGCACCGCACCGGCTTTGCGCGCTTCTGCCACCACCGCTACTCTCTGGACGACATCGACAACACCTACATCCACGTGACCAACGTGGCGGTGCAGAAGACGTACCCAAAGTACTCGGCTGCCTCCGGCTGCAAGTTTGGCATTCGCAACTTGCGGACCATCCTCACCGCCACCCACGGCGCGGCCCGCACGAACCAGCTTTTTGGGGACATTCAGAAGATGATTCTGCGCACCATCTTCGCCGTGCAGAAGATCATCATTCAAGACAAGCACTGCGCCGAGTTGTACGGCTACGACGTCATGATCGATGACGTGCTGCATCCGTGGCTGATCGAGACGAACGCGTCGCCGTCGCTCACGGCGGAGACGCCAGCGGATTACCACCTGAAATTTAACATGCTGAATGACATGCTTGACGTCATCGACTTGGAGAACCGACGCAGCGGCGACGAGGAGCGCATCGGCGGCTTCGATCTTATCTGGTCCAACGGACCAGCCGGCGTGTCGAAGAGCGACAGCAGCAAGGCGATGATGGCGTCCTACCTGGGCTGCGTGAGCGAGAACGAGATCCCGATCAGTCAGCTGCGACTGCCGCCGCGGCTACAGAACCACGATAGCAGCGAGCGGCCTCTCACGTAGTTCGCGAAGATCTCCCTTTGCCTTCATTATTATTATTATCCTTTCATGATTTCCTTGCGCTGCGTTCCGCTCGCACGATGTACATGAATGCGTAGAGTGCCGACTCGACGCAGCCTCTTCTTTCTCACCGAACAACGCAAGACAAAGAAATACAGTTAACGCACACACATGCTTCACTTTTTGTATCTTCTCTGCACTGTGCACGGCGAGGACGTGTGCTTGGTGCCGCTGCTTTGCGCGTTCCTTGCTCTCCTGCTGGGTCGTCTTGCCGTCGTAGGGCCGGTGCCACTCAGAGAAGAGGGAAAGGAAAGAAATGGCTGTGGCTTGTTGTGCCCCTTTCGCAGGCTGAACCAACGTCGCACACGCACTCACCACAGAACCACGAACGAAAAAAAATCGGCGATGTCGCAGTGGTATCTTCCCTCTCCCCTCTCTCACTCCTCCCATGTCTGATCTTTTGTCCTCTCTCTCTGTGCCTTCGCAAACGCGCTCTCAAGCAAGCGAGCCAACAGTGCATGTGCCGACGCAGTCACAGCGGCTGCCTCACACACTAAGAAAACACCAATAAGAGAACGGAAGAGCCTTCCAAGTTCCCCGATAGCACGGCGAGGGAGGCATTCCGGCGCGTACCAACCCCCGAAGAACAGAAGTTGAATGAACGTGCCGAGCCAACGGCGAGGCAGCCCGAGCTAGAATAGAGCGTGCCGATGAGCTTTTCGGCGCCTTCGCTCTGCCGGCGGCGGCAACGGGGCCGTCTCCTCACCCCTCTAGAAGTCGCCGTCATTGTGTTCCTTGTCGTCCTGCTTGCGTGTGTGCCTCCGTCCGTCTCCCCATGGAGGTTGGTGCGTGCCACGCCCTCCAGGAATGGCGGAAAGAGCAACAACTGGGCGGTCATCGTCTCCTCGTCACGGTACCTCTTCAACTACCGACACACCGCCAACGCGCTCACCATGTACCACACCCTGCGCCAGCACGGCATCGATGACGATCATATTTTGCTGTTCCTCAGCGACAGCTTCGCCTGTGATCCCCGCAACGTGTACCCGGCGGAGATCTTTGCCCAGCCTCCATCTTTCACCGAGGATGTGAACGGGCACACGGATATGAATCTGTACGGCTGCAGCACGCAGGTCGACTACTCCGGCAGCGACGTCGACGTGCGGCGCTTCTTGAGTGTGCTGCAGGGCCGCTACGACGAGAACACGGCGCCCACGCGCCGCCTGCTGTCGGATGAAAACTCAAACATCGTTATTTACATCGCCGGCCACGGGGCGAAGTCGTACTTTAAGTTTCAAGACGTCGAGTTCCTGAGCTCGGCGGACATCGCGGAGACGCTCACGATGATGCACCAGCAGCGCCGCTACGGCCGTGTCGTGGTGCTCGCGGACACCTGCCACGCCATTGCCTTGTGTGAGCACATCACGGCACCAAACGTGATCTGCCTGGCCGCCTCCGGTGCCGAGGCGGAGAGCTTCTCCGACCAGTACGAGGCAGCCCTCGGCGTCCACCTCATCTCCTACTGGATGAACGAGATGTACTCCTTGTTGAACGGTACGAGCTGCAGCGACCCGACGGTGAAGCGGTACAAGCAGGAGCGCGTGTCGCCGCTGCATCAGTCCTGGCATGACTTCAACTACCACCCAAAGCGGACGGAAATTAGCCGCGGTCACGCCGATGCCGCCCACCGCGATGCCGTCAATTTGCCGGGGGCCATCAAGAGCTGGAAGGTGGCGGACTTCGTCTGTGGCGAAGAACCGGTGGCGGAGTCAGTGGAGGTGCATTATGACCTGGATTGAAGAGGAAGGAGAACAGGGTGTGTGATGAGCGGGGTGATGGTGGCGCACGATGTGCGTGTGTGCGTCTGGCAGGCGGCGGCGTCTCTCACGTCTGGTGTGCACAGATAAAAAGATAATTACGATGATGAGAACTTCGTGCGCCGTCTCTTTCTTTCTTCTTTTAGGCGTCTATCGGTGCTGTTTGCCTTTCGTATTATCTCCCCTTCTTCTGCTCTTCGCTGATGCACGCAGCGGTGATGTTTTTTAAAATGGTTTTCTTCGGCTCCGACTTATTGGACGAGTTTCACTGCGTACGTACGCAAAGTAGCAAGCGACCTCATTCGACTTAAAGCATATATAGAAAAGCGAAGCAGAATTTCAGCTGTCGTTTCAGTGGAGACAGCAGGTTGGTGTTTTGTTCTATTGTGTCGCGTCAATGTTCATTGGCATGCGGTTACCGGCTCTCTTCCGTCTGTGCGATGTCGGCAGGGACAGGTTTCACTGCCCGTAAAAAAGGCAAATACATAGTACTACGTCTGCTGATCATTTTCAGATGAGATGGGGTCGTGCTTCTTCTTCCTCTCTTCCCTGCCGCGGGCCGCATCCAGCTTTCTTCTCTTCCACCTGTCTATCAACTTTGCATCTCTCCTCCTTTTCTTAAATAATCATCTTCTCACCATTTCAGTCCGCGTATTTTGCGGAAGGTCCCTCTGCTTTGCTTCTTGCGTCAACGGACGTCATCGAACCTTCGAGGACGCGCACCCACAAGCACCCAACACACACGCGCGTACGTAATAGTAAATGCGCGCGTTTTCAGCATCGGCGCCGCGCTGTTTACTGGGGGCAGCGTTCACCACCGCACGTCGCACCGCATCGAACTCCGACGCTGCGAATGCTGCGGGCCCGCCGTCTGCTGTTGCCGCTTCTCCTCCGAGCTCGTCCGCTGCCGGGCCGAAGGTGGCGCCGAAGAAGCCGCGTCGCCGCATCGCGAGCAGGTTGGATGCCGCCGATCTGCTGAAAGGCGTGCCGAGCGCACCCGGCGCCCACGCCGAGCTGTCCACCGCGGAGCTGGAGCGGAAGGTGGAGGAGATGTCCCGCCTGAACCCGAAGCAGCTCGAGGAGGTCATGCGCAAGTTCGAGGAGCAGGAGGACGAGAGCAGCCGTGTGCTGAGCGACGACTCGCTTTACCAGATGGATGTGTCCCTCAAGCCGCGCAGCTCCGGCGCCGTGCGGGTCTTCTGGAAGGACGTGGACGTGGTGGAGTTGAAGGACCGCTACCCGGGCTGGTACGCCGTGACGGTCGACGGGCGCAAGGTGAAGGCCTTCGAGTCGTCGCATGCGCTGGCGGTGCCGAGCCTCGCCATGGCGTGCTGCTGCGCCCAGGAGTACGCGGAGCAGACCGGCTACCTGAACAAGCTGCTGATGCCGATGTCAGACATGTGCAGTGGAGCTCTGCACATCGCCCCGCAGATGTTGAACCCCCGCATCGAGTACCTGCTCTCCTTCTTTCAGAATGACAACCTGTACTTCCGCGCGGCGCCAATTGCGGCGAGGCAGGACGCGATGATCGCCCCGATCGTGCAGTGGTTCGAGCGGGTGTACGAGATGGACGTGCCACGGGTGGCCGGCATTGGCGACCCGCACATCACGCCGCACGCGACGGCGAAGATGCGCGATGCCCTGCTGGCCATGAACATGAACCCCTATCAGGTGCTCGCCATGTGTGTCACGGCGCAGTTCACGAGCAGCCTGCTGCTGCCGTTGGCACTCTTCAACGGGGTGGTGGATCTTCCGACAGCGCTAGCGATCAACCGGGCGGAGGAGCACCACAACATCTCCGAGGCGGGGCTCGTCGAGGGCTACCACGACATTCGGGAGGCGGACGTCGTAACGAAGATTTGCGCCTGCGCGACGACGTGGCGGCTGATGGAGGGCGTCTCGCTGGCGAAGTGCTTGGAAGTGCCCCGCGTGGGAGGCGCTCAGGATGAGGCCGAGGAGGTGTGAAGAAAGATTTGCACGCACCATACGATGCATTGGCGCTGATTTAAAAGAAAGGAAGAAAGAAATAGGCATATGAGCTGTCTAATTTTGCGAGGTTGTATTGTCTGCGCCACTTGCCTCTGCCGACATTTTTTTAAGCAATGGAAACGCTATTGTTGGTGGTGTAGATCGGGTGGTTGTCCGTATCGGGTTTTTCTTCCTCGGTTCCTGGTTGTTCACAGAAATGTTTTCCCCTTTTTCTTTGTAGGATAAAAGAAGAGTTTAAAAGGTTGTATTTGTTGTCCCTCTGACGGCGGAGGGTTCTTTTTATTATTATTTCTGGCTGTGTTTGCTGTAGCGGCAACGCCGCTGCGCTCGGTGTTGCGGCGTGCAGGTGAGGTGGAGCCGCATGCGTGAAAGGGAAGACGTCCCATGTTTCTTTTCTCGGTTCTTTGCGTGTGCGTGCTTGCTGCGTGCTTCTTCCGTTTCTCTTTAACGCTATTCGTATTTCTCACCATAACACGCACCGTAGCACCTCCATCGATCCTTGCTGTTGCCAGTTGACCCGGCCACAGGAAGGAAGAGGGAGAGCCTTCATGGCGGATGAATCGGTGGAAGGTGTCTTCACTGTAACCAAGCGAATATGCAGCAAACCCCCACTCTACGCAGTGCACTGATTCTCTCATGCTCCTCTTTCCCTTCCCCCTTCCCTTTGACATCTGTGCGCATCGGTAATGATGCAATGCGCCATGTGGAACTGCATCGATGTCCGTTTACATATATCTATATCTCTAAATAGATTTCCTTTCAACTGTTAACGAAAAAGTCTTTGCTTTGCCCCTCTTCCCCTCCTTCTATTTATTTCGCGCTGCCGTTGTGTTCAAGCGGGGCCTCAGGCGACTCACCAGCTTCTCTTCTTTTGCTAGTTTTGCGTTTGATGTACCTACTGGAACTTCCTTTTCGAACTCCATGCTTGACAGACTCTCGCGCTATCCTACGTTACTTCTTCTCGAACAATAGTCCGTAAAAAGGCACAGCCGTCTGACGACATGCCACCGAAGCAGCTTCCCTCCGCCAAACCCACCCGCATGGCGGGCCCGGTTTCCTCTTCCCGTGCCTCCGGCAGCCGCCACGGTCAGCTCGTACCGTCGACGCAGAGGGGCGACGGCCGCAGCAGCAACGCACGCGCTATGCCTCGTGTCCACGGTGCTGCAGGTGGTGCTGCCGCCTCTTCATCGGCGCTCGTAGGTGGCAACAAGCCCGTTTACGGCGAACTCGTTGAGTCCGATGAGGTGCACGACGAAATCCGCGCGTTGGGCACCGAGGTGAAGTCCATGATCGCCCAACACCTCCCTCGGCACGGCACCTCGGAGGAGCAGGTGGCCTGGGGTGTTCGGCAGTTCGGCCCGTCCAAGGAATCTCGTGCCGCGCTGAACAAGGAGAACGACGCAGCCAAGTTGGCCTGGGAGAGAGGGGTGTACTGCGTGTGGCGCTGCACGGAGCAACCGAAGCTACGTGGCGCGAACAACGACTTCTGCTGTCGACTGGGCTACCGACACGTGTGCTTCTGCGGCCACCCAATGGCGGCGCACACAACGCCGGCGTGTGCGTCAAACATGGCTGCCACGTCCTCTTCGTCGTCGTCGTTGCCAAATCCCAAATTTTCCCCCGTGAGTGATCGACAACTTGCGCAGTGGAAGGCACCGTGCGAGGAGACGGGCTGCGCCTGCGCCGCGTTCCGCTACATCCCAAACTCACCGCTGGAAATCGGCGAAGGCTGGCTGACGCGACGCGCCAACTGGAAGCCCGCGGAGTGGAGTGCGAAGTGCCGCTGCGGGCACGGGCACAAAGCGCACGACCCGGCCTCCTCCTCACGCATGCGCTGCCGCAGTTGTGGTGGCTGCTCAGGATTCACCTCCGCATTCCTCTGTGTGGTGTGCGACCTGCCCTGGGAGGCGCATGAGACCGTCTGGGAGAGCGAGGGGGCTCGTGAGCAGGCGGGTTTCCCGGTGCGTGAGGCGTACGCTCCCCTGGCTAACTTCGAGTGGGATCTTCGGGAGCTGGTGTTGACGGATGCTACGATGGGCGGCAAGATCGAGCCGCCGGCGACGTACCTGGCGTTGCGAGGCCGTGAGAACACCTCTTCGCGAAGCCCGAGACGACGCATTGGTGGTGGTGATGGTGGTGGTCCCTCGGGGGTGCTGCCTCCGTTATCTTCTCCAGAGATGACAGCGACACCGGCGTCTGTGCCCGACGCGGCTCCGGCGGTGGAGGTGGAGTACTGCGCGGGGTGTGCTACCATTTACCGAAGCGCGGCGTCGAACTTCTGTGCGAAGTGCGGGCGACCGCGTCCGCGCCGTTCGACCACGTTGCGATAGCTAATGTTTTATTTACTATTATTATTGATGTCCTCCGATGTGCAATCATAACAAGACAAAAATACCGGTCTTTTCCTTTTTTTCTCGTTTTGTTGGAACTGCTCCATGTAGAATAATAGGGTCTTTTTGTCGTATAATCCACTCCGCCGCAGGAGGTGACTGCGTGTAACCAGAACGTTTGCATTACCCATCTGAACTCAACAACAACAACAAAGGATGCATTTTTCTCTTTCACCGAACCTGCCTCACTAGTCTGACTTTCAGAACTCAGAAAATGAAAAAGTCACGCGAAACAGCGCAAGTAAACAAGCCTCCTCCCCCCCTCCTAACACCCATCCACACACACACACACATGCTGACACACGCGTGCAACTCTTTAAACGTTGATGGTCATTCTTTTCCAAGAAGGCGTCTACCTCTTCCTCCGTCACGCACTTCCCACCTTCATCGTTTTTGCTATTTTCGTCCACGCCTTCCTCTTTTCCCCTCTCTCACGCACAGTATTCCCGACCTTAAGGCGGCTGCCTCTTCTTCTTGCTCTTTTTTCTTACTTTCCACGGCATCTTGCCCTCCAGAGACCCCGCCCCTCTCCCTGTCGAATTACGTTGATCGATTGCCGGTGTAAAGGCTCTTTGATTCGGGGTGTGTATTTGTGCATCGGAATTCAGATCGCTGCTCGGGAGATCACCACAGACGCCTCTGCACACGTACACGCACACACGTCGCCGTAAACAGCAAACGCTGTCTGCGTTTTAATATACACATAAGAAACCAAAGGAATAAAAGAAACGATGCGTGCGAGCAGGCTGTGTTTGGCCGGCCTCCGCCGTCTGCCCTTGTCAGTAGCAGCCGTCGCCACCGCCGGCACGCTGTCGTCGGCAGCTGCGACGGCTCTGCCACTGTGGAGTCAGGCCCGCTTTGCTAGCAGCAGCAAGAACCCTTACACGGTGCTCGGCATCAAACAGGGTGCTGACAAGCAGGCGATCAAGAAGGCCTACCGCGTTCTCGCCCGCAAGCACCACCCTGACGCACCGGGCGGCAGTGATGAGAAGTTTCGTGAGATTCAAGAGGCCTACGAGCAAATCAAGAGCGGGGTGTGGATCCGCAAGGAGCAGGAGAGCAGCGCCGGCAGCGGCGACGGCGGCAGCGGCAACGCGAACCGCTACAGCGGCTTCCGCTACACCACCCGGACCCATCACAAGAGCAAGGTCAGCTACGATCAGTTCTACGAGGAGCTGCACACAGGGAAGGTGAAGCGGGATCCGTTTGCAGACGATGACGAAGCCGAGGAGCCGGCCGCGAAGGACGCGCGCCGAAACCCGTTCGCCCTGAACGAGATCGCATTTCAGGCGTGGCTGCGGTTTATCATTGCGTGGTGCCTCCTCTTCTCTAGTCTCCGTCTCGGGCTGTTCATGATCTTCCCGCCCAGGTGGGAGAAGCCGCAGCGCAAGCCGCCGCCGCGGGAGTTGCGCGGGCAGAGGCGGCCGGCCCCGAAGCCGATTCGCGCCTCCGAGGACGCTATTGTGGCGTGACGAAGTGCCTGATGCAGCGTGGCACGCGCCTGAGTGTCTTCCTTTTCCTTTTCCTTTTTTTCTTTCTCGGATTGCTCCGAACTCCTCACATCTGCCGTCTGGACGCGTTTCGCTCAGTGTTGGGTTTGTTGGGGTTTGTATTTTTTCATTGCGCTGCTGTGATGTCGCGGTGGAGTAAAGAGACGGTGGGGAGTATGAATCTGGGCGTGTGCACGCTTGGTGGGGAGGGGCGAACGAGCGTGCAGTGAAGTGCAATTGGCGAGGACTTCACTCTCTTTCTCTCACTATATACATATATTTATTTATGACAAAGGAATCTGCTAGGTGACACCTGCGAAGGTTGCACGCCTCCCCTCACGTCAGCGCGAACTTCGCTCGGTTGTACCTACGAAGGCTTTTTGTTTCTCCCTTCTTCCTTTCCTTATGAATATTTATTTATTTCTTCTTCACGGCTTAATAACTGCGGCTACTACTAATAGTAGAGGAAAAAAAATAAGGAGCGGCGTAATGCAGAACCCTTTCTCTCCTCTCTCACTGCCTCTCTCACTGTCAGCAGAGGCTGGGGTCGGCGGTTGGGAGCGCGCAAGTCAAGCGTCAGACAAGTCGCTGTTTCTTTCCCATGAGAGTTTGGTTGGGGGGGGGGGGGGGGGTAGGGGAGGAGGGATGAGAAGAAGAGGAAAGAACAAATGAACTAATTCCGTAATGTTGGGGAGGAGGGTGCAGCACCTGTGAATGGAGTCGAAACTTCGTGAGTCCCCCCGCTCAACGTTCGGCAGGCGGATGCTGTCTTCTCGTCACCAAAGAGGTGATGCCGCTTTCTCTCTCTCCGTGTGTGTCCATGCGTTTACTAACACTTCTCTCTTGCCGTTCTCATTAAAACCTCCTTGATATTTGCACCTGTCGGCATGAACGGTTTGCTGACGTTGTCGCTGAAACCCATTCATTTAGTACCGTTAGCACGCAGCGGAGCGGGCATCCATCAGCGTGTGAGGCGCAGTAGGGTGCGCTGCCTCCTTTGTCTTTGTTTCTGTTAGCTCTTGCTTTGTTTCTTCGTAGCCTTTTTTTTTTATAGCACAGATCCGACGATGCTGCGACAAACGTGTGTGCTGGCGGCGGCGGAGTTCAAGCAGAAGTCCCGCTGGTCCGGCGTGTGGCCGAACATGCACTACGGTGCTATGTATCTGCAGTACAGCGTCGGCCGTCAGCTGCCGATGCAGGGCGTGAACTGGGTGACGCGTGACTCGAACCGCCTCGTGAACTTTAGTGCGCGCTACCAATCTGTGATCGACGACGTCGATGTGAAGCGCAACGAGGAGGAGCTGCAGATTGCTTTGACCGACGTGCGGTGGAACGACCACCGACGCATCTTCTGGCGGTGCTCCTTCTGCGGCGCGTCCTACCGCAAGAGTGTCTCGGTGCGCATCAAGTACCACGCGGGATGCAACTTCTGCAAGGGCCGCTACGCGTCGGAGGTGCTGCGGGAACAGACAGTCGTGCAGCCGCTGAAGGAGACGCAGCCCAACCTGTTCGGCAAGCTGGCGGAGAATGAAAGGAACGACAACGTCGGCTCGTTGGGCGTGACGAGCAAGTTCCGTGCGCAGTGGACGTGCTCGTGCTGCGGGCAGCCGTACCGCGCCACTATTCGCAGTCGTACAGGGCTGGTCGAGCCCGGACAGACGCCGCTGCATCCACAAATCACGCAGTGGACGTCAGTGTGCCCGTCGTGTGCGTGGAATGCGAACATGAAGTCCCTGGCGGAGCGGACCATGAAGGAAGGCCAATTTTTGGGTCTGGACGCGTCTCTGGAGGAGGTGGCGGCGGCAGGCTCTACGAAGAAGATTCCACGGCGAAAGAAAATGGTCGTGTAGGAAGAGAGAAGGCTTGTGACTTGACCAGCATCGTCTTTTCTTCCCCCCCTTCCTTTTTCGCTCTCCATTTCATTTGTTGTTGTGTGTGTCGTTGGATGACCGGCTTTGGGTGCTGTTTATTCTATCCTGTGAAGAGGCGACCGTTTGGTGTGCGTCGTGGTATCTCCATCTGCCTCTCCTGCGGTAAAGACCCACAGATATATATATATATGCTTTTACCATCCACGGCCTTTGTGTTTTCCGTCCCCTCGTTTGCGCGGGTGCTGCTCTCCTGCGATCAGACCCAAAGCGTCACAGTACCAAAGAAAGAATCTAATAATAGTATAAAAGAAACACAGGCGCGTAAAATGGAAGAGAGTGAGCTATGGAGGTACGAGGAACCGCCACGCCAAGCGAAGAAGATAAAAATAGCGGCAGATATTTTGAAAAACAAACAAACGCCAACTGTGTATTCCACGCAGCAAGCGCCGTTTTTTTTTTGTTTCCCCCCTTCGCAGACGAGCGGCCATTCACGGTGACACGCTTGCTGGTCTCTTGCGATCCTCCGTGGATTCGAACTGTGTCCACGAATGAATGGAACGGGGGCGCAGTGACGTCTATGTGGACGCTGCTCGTCGTCGGCGTGATATTCGCGTGTGTTTGTGTGTGTGTGTGCTGTGCCTGCTTTACGATTGGCGCTTTGCACGTGTAGCGCTTTTAACTGCTCTTTCCCTTCGTGCTTCGTTCTCTCCCTCGTTCTAATATATATTTATTTTTTCATCTCGTGTGTGTTTCTTCCTATGGAATGCGGCTCTGCCAACGCATCGTTTATCGTGCAGTAGAACACAGTGGCGGTGCTTGCACGATAGAGCAACGACGTCCTTCTTCCTAATCTCTGTTTTTTTTTTTAAGGGGGATTTCGACATGTCTAATCGATTCTTGCAGAAGTTTTATCTGCGGTGCGGCCACTGCACGGCAGTTCAGCGCAGCGCCCAGGGCTACAAGCCCATTGCGAACCCCATTCTTTTCAAGTCGGACGAGCACTGCCGCAACTACCACAACGAGCAGCGCCGTGCGGCGGGCTACGCCGGCATGATGGTCACCACGCGCTGTGACAAGTGCGGCCGCGTGCACTCCAACTGGAAACTGCTAGATGGACAAGAGTTCTTAGACGTGAAGCTGTCGATGACTCCGGCGGAGCGAGAGAAGCGTTTATGGGCCAGCTCGAGGTGAAAGAATCCAGCAGAGGAGGAAGAGAGAGGAGAGAGACGTGCAGCGGCACATTGTATTCGATTGTGGAATTTCGTGTGTTCGCGGATGTCGCGTCTTGATCGAATCCTTTTTTTTTCCCTTGCGTACTGTGGCCACGCACAAGGGCTGTGGTTATCGTTCTGTTGGTGGGCGTACTCGTGTGTGAAAGGAAGGCTTCTTACCTTTCTTCTTCTTTTTACAGTTTCACCAAAGAAAAAAAGGGAAACAAAAAAGCGGATTAAATCGCACGGCGTTGTTGCGATGAAGACGTTGATGGGCAGACGGGCCGTTTTCGTTTCAGCTCTCTTGATCGCTTCGTTTTCATTGCCGGTATTTCCTCTTCCTCCATTTTAAATAGAAACTAGGCGAAATGCATGCACAAATACCACCCGCCAGTAGAGCTGCATCGTCGACTCAAAATGTTCTCTCCGCCCTTTCTGCTCTCTCTGTTCCCCCCTGCGGCACCAACCAGGAAAACAAGCAACGTAAACGAAACGAAGCAAGGGCTGACGTGTGAATCAAGTCGCTGCACTCGTTGCCATCGCCGTTGTGATACAACCCTACCCCAAGCGCTTCATTCAACGTTGACGAAAGGTGCGGATAACCCTTCTAAATAGGTAATAGCAATTCATATAAAATAATTCAGGAAGGGCAACTTCACACGTCAACAGCAACGACAAAATAAAAGAAAATGCGCCCGGCTGACGCACGCCTGCAGAGCCTCGGTGCCACCTTTGCGGTGCACTACTACACCACGCTCGTGGAGGCCCCCGAGAAGCTCGCGGCGCTGTACACTCCATCTGCCCACGTCGTCCACAGCTTCAAGAAGGCCAGCGGTGTGGCGGAGATCACTGCCCTGCTCACCACCGTGACGGCTGCCGGCGTGACAGAAGTAAAGCTAGAGGACGTGTCCACCACCCGCACCACTGCAGGCGGCATCAAGGTCACCATCACTGGCCAGCTTCTCGGCCAGGCCTCTCCACAGGGCTTCACGCAGGAGGTGGAGATGCGGGAGCTGGAGAGCAACGTGTTCGGCATTACGAGCGATAGGCTGAGCCACACGGTGGCGGCCCACACGGCGTGGACGGCGGAAGAGACACCAAAGACGACGGCGGCGGAGGAGCCCGCTGCTGCTGATGTTGAGCCTGAGAAGGGAAGGAACGAGGACGGAAAGGAGAAGGCGCAATCTCGAAAGCCTACACCGGCACCTGCCGCCGCCGCCGCCGCTGCTGCTGAGGAGTCCGCGCCTGCTGCGGACGCGGAGGAGCCCGTCAAGAAGCCCACAAGCTTCGCGGAGGCCTTAAAGATGAAAAAGATGGGCGAGGGGGCGGCCTTCTCCAACAAGGCGGTGCGCGTGGTGGCGTCCGACAAGGCCGGTGCCGTCTCTGCTGCTGCTGCGGCGAAGTCAGAGAAGGCAGAGAAGGGTGAGAAGAAGCACGCCATTAAGAAAGCGGATAGGCCAGTCGGCACCGCCGCCACCGCTGCGTCGACTTCCCCCGTTACGGACCGCGCCGCTGCGTTAGTGTACTACGACATCATTCTTAAGGAGCTGGACCCCGCCGTGACGGAGGACGAAGTGCTGGCACTGGTGACCCCCGTAGCTCCCGTGAAGCTGGTGCACGTCGTGAAGGGCGAGAAGCGCCGCCGCATCAAGGAGGCCGACGGCGTTGCCGCCGCCTCCACGTTGACGTTTGCTTTTGTGCAGCTTGAGCGACCGGCTGATGCGCCGGCCTCGCATGTGAAGAACGTGGTCACAAAGCTTTCCGAGCACCACAAGGACCTGCACGTGGAGGAGGTGCGGGAGAAGAAGAAGGCGCCGGCGCACGGCAGTCCACGCGCGGCGAGGAAGCCGATGGCCAGCGCGCAACGCCGCAAGCCCGCCGAGCACACGAAGGACTCGGCTACCGCCCCTGTCAAGCCGCAGCAGAAGAAACGCGAGTAAAAAAAAAAAACCAACGGCGATGATGGAGGTGCCACGGAACAGCAGAGAGGGAGGGAGAGTGAATACACCTGTTTTCTTCAGTACTGTCTCTGATGTCGGATGAACCTGCGCTGTCCGAATTCTCACGTTGTGGAATGCGTGAATTCTGCTGTAAGCGGGGCGTTGTCGAAGCTGTTTGCACGTTGCTTAACTTAAATACACGTGCAGTTGGTCACCTGACGCACGTTGTTTGCCGGGATCATGCGGACACCACCCGGTGATGCATGGCAATATATATATTTTTTCTGGTTTGATCCGCCTTCGTTCCCTTTGCCTGTTTGTTCAAAGATGCGGAAGGTGTCTCGGTTCGGATAACAGTGGTGATGTTCCTAATTACTAATGCTAGAACTTAAGCAGAGGAAGGTGATAGTGAATGAATAACAATAATGCTAATAAAGAAAAAGCAACCGAATCAAGGGTGCGGTGTAGTTAGGAACGAGAAAGGAAAAAAGGTTTGCGCGAACGGTGAACCGGCCTCTGCACATCAACGACCCAGGACCAGAACCCCCCCCCTCCCCTCCCCCCATGCAGTGATGGGAATAGAACATCAAGTCTCACTAACGTATTTTCATAGATGCATGAAGGCGTGAAGCGGCGTATGGGAGAAAAGACAGCACACATCCATTGTAGCGCTTCATTGCTTCGAATAGGCCCTTTTGTCGTTGTCAACGGCAGACGACGTGTGCGTGCTCACGAAATTCGCGTTGGCACTATTTTGTTTTTTTTCTAAGCGGTTTTCTCTGTTGCTGTTTCCTCTTTCCTCCCTTTTCTCCCTGTGCGTTCTACATGTTCTTGCTATGCTCGCTTTGATATCTATTTCCCCTCCAAAGCACCGACAATCACACACACACACACACACACAGCGTCGCTGACAAGACTTGCGATGAAGGCGATTCGCACCATCGGCTTCACCGGCACCATCGCCAGCGGCAAGACATCCCGCTGCAAACGTCTAGTCGAGGTCGCCAGGGAGCATCAGCGCGGGCTGGAAGCAGCGGCTGCAGCTGCCCAGGCCGTTTCCAACAAGCCACCCTCCCACTCCCCCCCCTGTGTCGACCATACCGTTCTCGTGCACTACATCAACGCGGACCTGGTGGGCCACAACATCTACGAACCCCACAGGCCCTGTTACAAGGACGTCGTCCAGCACTTTGGCTCGTCGATTCTCACCCGCACACCACCGTTTGCCGGTGCAGCGGACGCGGACGGGGAGGGCAGTGGGAAGAGCGGCAAGGCACCGCTGTCGGCCCCCTACATCGACCGCCGTGTGCTGGGCGAGATCGTCTTCGGGGATGCGCGCAAGCTTCAGGAGCTGAGCGCCATCTGCTGGCCGTACATCACCGCTGCGATTCGTGCGGAGTACGCGGCCGTCTGCGCACGTGCCACCGCATCGACGCCGCTGCCCAGCACGATCGATCTCACTGCGTTTCCCGCCCTCCCAGCTGGACCGGCGGCGGTGGCGCTCATCATTATTGAAGCGGCACTGTTGTGTGACATAGTCGATGTGCTGAGCTTGACAACCGATTTGTGGATGACGCACTGCACGCCGGAGACGGCAGTGGATCGGTTGATGGCGCGCAATGGTCTCAGCAGCGACGAGGCCGGGCGGCGAGTCGCCAGCCAGCGGGAGGTGGATGAAAAACTGCAAGCGCTGCGGGAGCTGTCGTACAAGGGCGATATCGAAGTCTTCGACACGACACAGGTGTCGCTCGCGGAGGGTTTGGAGGAGACGGAGAAGGCGTTTGAGAAGTACTGGAAGAAGAAGGTGTTGGTGCACTTACCTCTCGACCCTGCCGCGTAGCCTGCGCTATACGTATATATTTTATTAGCCGCTGGTCGTCATTCGAATAACAGCCGGTGTGACAGTCAGATTCTATTTGCTTACCCTTCTTTCTCTCTTCTTCCTTTTCCCAGCGCGAATCGCCTTCCTCATCGCGTTGGTGCTTCTGCGTTGTTGTAGATATAAATGCATATTTGGAAGATCCACAGCCTTCCGTCTTTTTGTTGTCCTGTCTTGAGAAAGCCACCGGCGATTCATCCGTTTCCTTTCTTTCACGATTTTTCCTTTTCCTATCGTATTTTGTTTTTTTCCCCTGTTACAGTCCATCGGTTTGCTTTACACTGTTGTGTTGCTTGCGAGATATTAACAAAAAGGCCTTTTTTTTGCTATCCGACCTGTGAGCTGCACCGCAGGTGAGCCGTCCCCACGAGCAAGGGCTTGCACGTGCGCTGTAGTTAAGCAAGCTTCTCGAAGAATCCCCCTCTCCTCCCCCAGAAAGAAAAAGGAAGAAGCGTTAGATGTGCCGCGGAGTTGTAAAACAGTGTTTTTCAGTGGTGGAGCCCTCCGGCTCCGCGGAAGAGCAAATGAGGGAGCAGCAGTTATGCATGTATATATTGTGTTTACCGCTGCCTTCGATGTCGCACGCGAACAGCTGACGTCTTGATGCGGGGGGGGGGGAATTGAAAAGGAGAGTATTCACATTTCTTCCCCCCTTCTCACTTTCTTTCCTTTAAAAAGCAGAATTCACCGTTCGCTGTTCGAAGTCCCCCCTTTTTTTCCCTTTTTTCAATAGCTAGAAGCAATCCCATCGTCTCCCTTCGACTTCTCCGGCGAGGTTAACCCATACTCACAGGCGGCTCCAGCCCGTGCTCAACGAAACCTGCTCTCCTGTTTCCTTTTTTCCATATCTTCAGACAACCTCGTCTGTCCTTCCACATGCCTTTCATATCTTAGAACTTTCCTTTATATCACGCATCTGCTGCTTTTCTGCTTCGCCTTTCCTCAGCTCGTTTGCTCTGCCCAGTAAAGGACAACGAGCAGGAACGATGTCCACCGTAACCGTCGAGGAGCTGCAGAAGCAAATGGAGGTGGAGATGGCGGCGCACAAAGCCGCCATCGACGCCATCGCCGCGCAAACCCGCAAACTTCAGTCCCTTCTCGACGATAACCAACGGGCTTTTACCGATCTCGTCACGCGCGTCACGAACCTGCGCGTGGCGAAAGGTGAGTTCTTAGCTGCGCGTGCGGAGGCACACACCCCGTGTGGCAACCTCGGCACCGGTTCAGACCTTTTGGACGGCTTCTTGGACTCCTTCCGAGTCAAGCTTGCCACCGTCAGCACCGCTGGCGTCTCGCCCGTGATGCAGAAGCTGGAGACGGCTGCGCTGGAGGCGATGACACCCTACGGTGCACGACGCGTCTCGGCGCTTTTCACGAGCAACGCCGCGGCTGTCCGTCACACCGGTATTTTACTCCTTTTCCCAAACGACGTGCGTGGGGTACGGGGGTGGGCGAAGAAGCACTTCAGCAGCTGCCCGAGCTGTGCGGCACGCCTAGCGCAGCTCCCGCCGTGGACGCCGCACCGCTATGACAGCAAAGCAATCGGGTTCGCGGCGGCACCAGATCTGCGCATCATCCCGGAGAAGCGTTACCACCACCTCACCTGCTCGCTCGTGCAGGAGAGCAGCGTGGCCGCTCGCGTGGACACGGCGGAGCAGCTCGACCTGATTCGTGGCACCTTCTTTCTGAAGGTGCAGTCCGCCAAAACGGGGCAGCCGCTGACGGAGGCGGCCGGCGTTTGCGCCACTGCGACGGCGGCGCTGCAGACGTGCGTGACGACGTGCATGACGGAGCTGCGCGATACCGTCCGCACCGCCGCGCCGTGGAACGTCGACCCCACCGCGAACCGCGACGTCTCGACGGCGATAGAGATACTGCTCCACCTGATGGAGCCGCGGGTGGACGTGCAGGTCGTGCCACAGCCCACCGTCAGCACCCCCACCCCCAACTCCCCCACTACCACTACCACGCGTCACGGTGCGCCCTGCACGCTCGTGCAGATGAACGTGGCGGTGACTGTGCCGCTGCAAGTCTCTGCCGTGGCGCCGCTGCTGCACGTGCTGCGGGTACCCGAGCAGCGCCGCTACGTCGTGGACACCGTGCTGGCGCCGCTGGCGGTGCGGGTTGGGGAGGTTTTCGGGGTAGGCGATCTGGCCGCCCGCTACTCGTCTGTCGGATTGAAATTCGCCGAAGCGCTCTTTCAACTGGCGGTGCAGCAAAGGCTTGTACCGGGGGATGAGCAAAGCACGTCACCATCCGCTTCAGCCGCTACCAACAGCAGCACTGCTGCTGCTGCTGGTACCTTTCCCCCGGTGGCTGTGGAAACGCTCTCTCAGCTGTACTTCGTGCTGCAGGCCCTCGCCGTGTTCAACACGACGCTGGAGGTCGAGATGGCCACGCCTCACCTCTCCACCGCCGCCGCACTTGATGCTGCCGAGTCGGCACAATCGGCGAAGAAAGCCGCGCTACACCTCGTGCGTTCGCTGCTGCAACGCTTCAGCCCTCCGACGCCGTTCGTCGTGCCGCCGGCGTGCGAGCCGGACGCAACGGAGCTCACGGTTAAAGTTACCCGTGCGCCGACCGCGTTCTTGGAAATCATCAACAATGCGTTCAGCAGCGATCAGCGTCTGCCCGCGACCGCACGCAGCTCCGCGCTGGACACGTTCATCTCCCTCAAGTCCAAGATTAGCCTCGGCTTGCGACTCTTCCGTGAGCTGGTGGTGGACGTGTACCGGCCCTATCACCCCTGCACGGGCGTCGTGCTGGCGGCCGAAAACGGCGTGAACGGCCGTCCACGTGCGGCGCCGTGTGTGCCGGTGATTGACCTTCCAGTGGACACCGTGGCGGCGAACATCACGGTGGCTACGTCCGTGATGAGGTGCTTGGACGACCTGCAACGCTGCGAGGCCGCGCTGGACACGGCGGCGGCGGAGACACCAGCGGAAAAGGCCGGGAAAGCCGCCCTGCAAGCGGCAGCAGAGAAGCTGCGCCGCACTGAACTGCTTGACCAACTGCGTGCACAGTGGGAGCAGCTGTGTATCCACGTGGTGGAGTCAACAAAGGCGTGCGTCGAGGTGGTGCTGCCCTTTTCCATGACGGAGGTGGACGTGCGCAGCGCCACAAAGCCGCTGCTCTACGTGCGTGTCGTGTACGAGAGCTGAAGGTCAGCCGTGTCAACGGAACCAAATGCAAGAGGATAAATATAATACAGCGAAGGAGGAAAACCAACAACGATTCTTTCATGGACGCTCCATAGCGGAACGGAATTACAGGAGGAGAGAGAGAGGGAAGAGCGTTACTACGACCGTCCCTCTCTCTCTCTCCGTATGTATATTTCTTTCTCTCCCTCTATTGGTGTAGGGGAATACATCGTACTAGTTGCGTATGTGCGGAATGAAGATGGAGCGCAAAGCGTTGCCTTTTTCTTTTGCGGTTATTATCAAGGAGAAGAATAATAATAAAATGGTGTCTTCATGTGCGCTCGTGTGCTCGTCTTTCGCCTGGTCTTGGCAACATAAAAAAACAACAACACTTCTTGTCCTTTTCACTTCCTTCTCTTCGAACCTGATGGTGGCCATTCAAACACCCCCCCCCCTCCCCCTCCCTACATAATCATGCACTGCACAACTCTCGCTGTCACCTCCAGGTAGTATTACATAGAAGCCTTTAGCATATTTTCTACGTGGTATCCTGTACGCTTCTCTGGCGAAGCAACTGCATTCGCGGAAGTCAAAAGAACCGAAAACGAAGGAAGCGAAGGTAAAGGAAGGAAAAAGGGGAAAAAAGAACACCGCCTATCGTAGCTGTCTTGTACGATAGCGTAGACACACTCACACACACACACACACATCAAACACACTCTCACACATCGTACTGTTCCAAGCACGTAAGGAAGACGGACAAGAAGGAAAATAAGGGGCAGACGCAGTGGAGCTACTAACGCATCCTTTCTTCTTCCTTTAATTACTTTATTTATTTACTTTCTCTTCCGCGAACTCACCAAAAAAAAAGAAAACAAAAAGCACCCACTCCTTTATTTTATTTACTTTGGTATTTTATTTGTTTCCTCGTATCTTTAACATTATCTTGTAGAAGGTAGTCTAGAGGGAAGAGAGGGGCACGCACACACACACACACACACACACAAAACCCACAAGAACAAATACGCGAGAGCGAGGGTAAACATTAGCTTCACTTTCGCCTACTACGCCGTCGTTTTTTGAGAAGCTCGCCTCCAAGCTCAGCCCCAGTAGCAGAAGAAAATCAAGTACCACACTTTCCTCATCCAACACAGACAACATGTTTCTCAACGCCGCGGACGCCGCTGACGAGCGTAGTCGGAAGGAGATGGAGAGGTTCCAGGTGGAGCGCATGGCTGGGCAGGGAACCTTCGGCACCGTACAACTAGGTAGGGAGAAGGCTACGGGAGTGGCGGTGGCAATCAAGAAGGTCATTCAGGACCCCCGCTTCCGCAACCGCGAGCTGCAGATCATGCAAGACCTCGCCGTGCTACACCACCCCAACATCGTGCAGCTGCAGAGCTACTTCTACACGATTGGCGAGCGCAACCACAAAGACATTTACCTCAACGTTGTGATGGAGTACGTGCCGGACACCCTGCATCGCTGCTGTCGCAACTACTACCGCCGCCAGGCGGCCCCGCCGCCCATCCTGATCAAGGTGTTTCTCTTCCAGCTCATCCGCAGCATCGGATGTCTGCACCTGCCTTCCGTGAACGTCTGCCACCGCGACATTAAGCCGCACAACGTCCTTGTGAATGAGGCGGACGGCACGTTGAAGCTGTGCGATTTCGGCAGTGCGAAGAAGCTCTCCCTGTCAGAGCCGAACGTCGCGTACATCTGCTCCCGCTACTACCGCGCGCCGGAGCTGATCTTCGGCAACCAGCACTACACCACCGCCGTGGACGTCTGGTCTGTCGGGTGCATCTTTGCGGAGATGATGCTCGGCGAGCCCATCTTCCGCGGCGACAACAGCGCTGGACAGTTGCACGAAATTGTGCGCGTGCTGGGCCGGCCCTCACGCGAGGTGCTGCGCAAGCTGAACCCGTCCCACACCGACGTGGATCTCTTTAATAGCAAGGGCACCCCGTGGGGGAGCATCTTTCGCGAGCAGTCTCAGATGAAGGACGCGAAGGAGGCGTACGACCTGCTTAGTGCGTTACTGCAGTACCTGCCGGAGGAGCGCGTGAAGCCGTACGAGGCGCTCTGCCACCCATACTTTGACGAACTCCACGACGCAGCCACGAAGCTGCCGAATGACAAGGACCTGCCGGCCGATCTGTTCCGCTTCCTCCCGGTCGAAGTGGACGCCCTCACCGACGCACAGAAGTCAAAGCTGCTCGGCAAGTAAAAAAAGGAAAAAGAAGAAGAAGGGGAACAAAAAACACACGTACACACACAAACCAAACAAATGAGGCACTTTCACGTCGACCTCCCCGCTAGTGTGTGTGTGGGTGGGGGGGGGGGCAAGCAGGCAAGCAAACGATCAACAGCGATATACACGACTGACACGGAAAGAAGAATTCCACAAGACAAGGAGAAATTTCACGAGGTCGCTCTCTTCTTTCTTTTTTGTAGTTGCTGGTTCCATCACTCGTGAAAGGGGCGTGTGTCGGTGTGACAGTGGTGATTTCTTCTGCTGTGTGCGTGTGTGTTTGTGAACACGGAGGTGCGTAAACGCAAAGATGCCACATAATTCTGTATGTTTTCTTATCTTTTTTTTGTTTCTATCTACCTCTTTTCTTTTATTGTCACTCACAGGACTTTGGAAGTACAGCAAGGGATGCCAGTTTTGTGCTACCTCTTTACTAAAAGAAAAATGTCGAGCATGCGAATGCCTCGGCGCGGTTTGGATGTTGCTTGGTTTCAGCGAAGGGAAGCGAAGGGGCAGGCCGACTGGTTGGCGCCAAAGAGGGAAAAGAATTAATAAAGCAGAAGACGGCGCAGACAGCGAGGTGAGGAGGGAAAGGGCGGAGCTTTCTATTTTCTTCAAGGTAACCCTCCCCCCTAGTATTCATGGACACTTGACAGAGTGCCACTGACAGTCGAAATTGTTCTCGCTCTGTGGTTACCTTATCTTTTGAATTCTCCAACCAGATGCTCACACAGACGCCCTGTGCACCGCTTTCCTTTTTTTTCTTTCATCTCCGTGCTCTCTTCTTGCGGCGTGTATTGCTGTTACGGACGAAGCACTTCGCACAGATCTGTATTTGGTGTTATCACCGCTGTGTCTTTGTTCGTATTACTACCTGGCCGTTTCTTCTTCTTCTCCCCACCTCTCTTCCCCATACCGATTTGGCGAGCGTGGGCGTTGAACTAAAGTACTTCTGTGGGTTTCGAGAGCAACACAAAAGACCCCCAAAAGAGAGGATGGTCTGTGTGCTTTATCTGGGTCAAAAGAGGTTCAAATCCCACCTGCAAAGGGGCGTTTGGACCATTGATTATGTATGCTGACGGGTCTGAGTGCTTTCGACTGATGTTTCCTTCCATATATATATGTATTTAAAGTTTTCCTTTTGTTTTTGTTAAGAACTGAAATGAAGGCGTGCGAGCGTTTTGCCGAAGAACAATACCGTTTGTTTTGTGAGTGTCACATATACATACATATATATATATATATATATATATATGCTCAGTTTTTTTTACTGTAACCGCCCTTGGCGTTTTTGTTTTCCCGTCTCCTCTCATTTCATCAGTGTTCTCGTTGGCTGAGTTCAATTGATGAAGGCGCTCGTTGCTTCTTTTGGTTACCGTTCGATACAACGCTGTCAGGTTGTTGTTGATGATGTTTTTGTTTGTGTGTGTGTGTTGTTCTGACTATCTGACTGTTTTTTCTCTCTCTTGTGTTTCTTTTTTCCGTTACACTCTGATCTTGTGTTTCTGTCTTTCAATGCGGTTCTTCTTCCTATCGAGTGCGCACAAGATAGTTCGCCGATTGACCTCGATACCCTCTTTTCTTTCTCATCTGTCTAACGGTGGGAAGCGACATGATGTGATCTTTTGGCAAAGGGGGCTCGTCGTTGCCGTCGGGGTTTGTAAAACATGTTTTTGCTGTTCTTGACCCATCTCTCTCACACACTATCTGTGACTTTTTTTTCCTTTTCCTTTATAGCAGCTTCTCCTTCCCACCCGTTGTTCGCTGTCATCACTCGCGCTCATCACCCCGAGGTACACTGAGAGGGAGAGAGAGACGGAGTGAAACGACCGTTTCCACGCTGGCGAGGTGAGACAAGACGGGGGGGGGGGCCATCAGGCTGGCTGAACGCATATATATATATATATATTTTTTTTTGCAGAAAGGATGTAATGGAAAGACGACAACACAGACGTACTCTAGAGGGGGCGGGTGCACTGTAAAGGTCGTTGTGGTAAACGAAGACAGAGATAAAAGAAAGAGAGAAAAAGGGAGAGGAAAACACACAAACAAAGTCGAAATAGAAGTCAGGCTGTGCCTTGGGTTTTCTTTCCTTTTACCTACTCGCGTTGTGATGCCCCTGAGCAGGTATTCCGTGGTTGTATCTCGTATCTTTTGTAAATACATATATATATATATATATATTTGTTAGTGAATCAGAGCGAGACGAAGAGGGGGAAAAACGACGCGTATTGGTGCATCTATTTTTTCCTTCTTTCTTTCTCTTTTTCCGCATAGTGGAAGCGCATTGACAAAGAGACGTTGCTCCTCGCTCATTGTTCGGATCTCGGAGGGTGGTCGACGTAACACACCTCTGCGTGCTCCGAAGTCACTGCGCAGTTGCAAAGGGGAAAAAGAAAACCTCCCCTCAACGATGAATGAGGAGGAAAAGCTGAGACGGCGGTGATTCGAAAGGGAGAGTGAAAGCGAGACTCCACTGCCCCACACACCACTGCATCGCTGTGCACGTTTACGGCGCTCTTCATCTAGCACTTCGGCTCTCCTCATTCCTTTCGCCATCTTCTCTTTTTGTTTTTTTTCTCGAGTACCTTCACGCGCGGCACACCGAGGTAAGGTCTTCTGCAAGTCGCGTACCCGACGACTGCGAACGCGCACGACGCTCATGTGCTGTGTATGCGGTTTAGTGCTGTCACGTACGCCGCCGTCCATTGTCTTCCGTTCGTTACTCTGCTAGCTTCTCACTGCGGTCCACCGTGAAGTGATATCCCCCGCCAACCTGTTGGAGTTACACCTCCTTATTTTTCTCTTTTTGTGTTTTACTCTGCAAACGAGTTACTGCGTCTTTCTCTTTCCCGTTTCTCTGTCTGACGAAGCGAGTCTGTCACTCGCGAGCGACACCAGAAGCACTCGCCCCCACAGCAGCCGGCAACGACACCAATTCGAACTCCAAAAGAGAGCGAAAAGGAAAAAAATCATTTATGGAAATGTTTGCGATATCCTCTGGGCCGATTACGCCCGCCTTCTTCTATCCGCAGCGCTACCGCGGCGACTCGGACTTCCATCCGCCCTCGCCGGTGCCGCGACGCCAACATCTCCCTTCGCCGCGGCAGCGCCGACACAGCAATGCGTCCTTCAGCACCAACGCCACTGCTGCGGAGCCAGCACTGTCTCAGCGAAGTGGGCCCTGCTGTCGGCCCGACACGCATCACAGAACGCACCGCTGCACCGCCGCCGCCACTCCCTCCCGCCGCCACCGTCGTCCACGGGCAGACACGGCAGCGCGAGGCACAGTGTGAGTGCGTCGCAGCCCGGCTCTGCCGTACCGGCTTCTCGCGGTGTGAGTGCGAAAGAAACTGAGTGGGATCTTCAACGTCTTCCTCATTCGTCTCCGCAACGTGCGCGTGCGTCCGAGGTGCCTCCCGCAGGTGAGAGGAGCGAAAATACGGAAAGCCAGGCGCGCCGCTCGACGTCAGCGGTTGCTGCCACGCGCAGCCGTGCCCGCAGCGGCGGCAGCAACACGCAGAGCGCCACTCGGCTGTCCAAGGTGCTCGCACAACGGCTTCCGCGTGCCGGAGAGCCCCGCGCCGGTCGTGGTGCAGCGGACTAGCTCGGAAATCGTCACACGTGGGGAGCGCAGCCGGCGTGGGCGGGCGCTGGTCACGGGCATCTCTGCCGCCGAGCAGCACCGCCTGCTGCGGCGACTGCGCTTCTTGCGATCTATCGTGCCACCGGAGGCGGCGAGCGTGGTGTCCGGCCCGGCCTCGCAGTTCAACTCCGCCACGTCTCCGCTGTCTGCCGTGACCCCTCTCTCTGCGTCGATGTCGGACGATGGAGAGGGGCGATCACTGGAGAGCTGGGTGGCCTCGCTAGACACGATGGACTCCTTGCGGGTGCCGTACCCCGCCATCTCGCAGTCGTGCTCCGTGTGTTTTCGAAAGTTCCAAGATGACGAGGACGTTGCGCAGCTGCCGTGTGGACACCTTTTCCACTTTCCATGCATTATGCGTTGGCTGAGGCGGCAGGGCAGCTGCCCGTGTTGTCGCGCCGATGTCCGCCAGCTGGCGTCGCAGAGGGAAGACCGGAAGAAGGTCTTGCAAGGCCCGGCAGCGGACTGAGGTACGGAGGACCTGACACACTGGAACGCGTTGGCGGAATTTTTTTTTTCAACCAACGGAACAGGTACAACGACGGCAGGGAAGCAAGGGACACCCCGTTGCATGGAATGAATGCGATGGTGAGAGGAGAAAGGGAAACGGCGCGTGGCTCGATTGTTGAGCTTGGCGCCTCTGGCTCCTCCCTCCCCCCCCCCTCGGTGTGCGTTTGCTTTTCTTGACCTTCTCACTGGTCTGATTTCTGCCTTTTCTCCCCGTTACTTCACTAAAACACTTTTCAATCGTCTCATTTTTATGATTTGTGGTCATCGCCCATTTCGTCGATGGTAATTCGTCTCCCGACCACAAAACTTTGGTTTGAGTATTTTCTTTTCTTGTTTTGTTTTTGAGGTCATCGAGGCAACTTCGCTGTTTTCTCTTCCGCTCTTTATTTATTTATTTTACAACGTGAGCAATCGTGAAGACGTTCTACTCTTTTGTTTCTGCTCTTGATTTACCCAACAACCAAAATTTTTATGTAATACAGTCTACACGGAACAAGAAGTGCAAGACAGACGGATTCTGCCTGCTCTTGCTTGCCAAATTCAGTTGCATCCGCTCCTTTATCTGCGGTACGGCTTCCCCATTCTCTGCTTCCGCAGCGCGCACGTTTCTGCACGTGCTTCTCTGTCTTTTTTTTTCTCACATTCGGATGTGCTGATCTTCTTCTTTATTCTTTCGAGTAGTTTTCATCTTGTTTTTAGCTCTTCGTGCTATTCTTTTTAGGTTCTGCTGCGTATGGTTTTAAGTGTTCTCGATGCACAACCTTCTTCTTCTTTGGCTGTATTCGATCCCCCTTTTTTTTACGTCTACGCCGGTGATCTGCAGATGATTAACGTTCACACGTGAACAGCCCGTGCTTCTGTCTTTTCCCCTTTAATCGGAAGAGTATGCCTATCATTGGGTATCGCTGCGTATGTGTGTGCGTGTGTGTGCAACTTGATGATGATGATGTGGATCAGAAACCTTTTCCCTCAAAATATCAGTCTACTACGTCCGCTATTGTGAAGGAAAGAAACGACACAACTGCAGGCACGTTCATTCTCCGCACCCCCCCCCCCTTCACTTCTCTGAGCAATACTCCCTGATGTTGTTGGTGGTGGCTCTATGGGGGCGATGTGAGGGATCTCTGTTCCATTTGTATGCGTTAATGCTAAGGATATGTGCAGGACCGTTCTTAATAGTGAGAATACACCACTTCGAACTTCTCTTCTTCGACCTACACACTTCTCATGCTCACCACGCTGGTGAAAAATTTTCTAAATGATGTATTTTTTCTATCTGCAAGTTTGTACTGCGTGATCTGCTGTTCACAGGCAGACCTTTTCGCCACCATCCACCTCTCCGCCGTCGATCACCAGCCCCGGGGGGCGGCCCTTCCGTAGCCATGTACCGATCTCTTTCAATATCAGCCCCCGTCATCGGTGCCAGCGCAATGCACCGCACGCCATCTCGCGCCACCTTCTTGCTGGCGTCTGCGGCCGGCAGCGCGTTGCGCACCTCGGCCCGCGGCCTGTCGGTGCGTACAGAGGATTTCTTTAGCAAGGAGGCTGTCAGCCACGCCCGCCGCGTCTCGTGGGCGCCGCACACCACGGAGAAGAAAGTGGGCGCCTTTGCGAAGCTGGCCCGGTCTAACTTCAACGATCCCGTGCCGGAGAGCTTCCACAACGAGCCGTACTTCGAGGAGGAGATCGAGGCCTACCGGGCGCATCACCGGCCGGATGTGTACATCTACAAGTACAACGTCTCTCCGACGCACCTGTCGCTGCGCGAGTGAGTAGGGACGGACTTTTCACTTTACGGAAAAACAACAACCACAACAAGAACAGCATCCTATCGTTGTCCTACAACATGGAGGCTTTGACTCTCTACTTTAGGAGAGGACGAGCGAAAAAGGGGCAGGGATGGTCGCGAAGTAGTGCTCGTCGATGCGTGGAATCCGTTTCGCTCTTTCTTCTTTATTATTATGTTGCGGATGCGTTGTAGTTGGCGGTCATGTTTTTGACGTTGCATGAAAGAGGAAGAGAAGAAGAAGACGCATCGCTGCGGTTCAACGGTAGTGTTGTCACCACGGCAGCAGAAGGCAGCGAGAGTGCTGTGGGATCAGAAAACGTTGACGGTTTACCTGTTCGCTGCTCTGGGAAAGAATGAAATGATAATAATAGGAATGAGAGGGCCACATTTTTTGTCTGGTACAGTGGCGGATGCGCTACGTGATAGTGGTGGCGCAGGCTTTGCAGTCAGAGAAGCCTGCGAAGGCCCTTTAGATGTGTTTCCTGCTGCTTCATGAGTACTGTCTTCAGACATCGTCCCCTGAGCGTTTCACCTCCGCTTTTTTTTTCTTTCCTCACTTTTTCTCAGAACTGGCGAGGGGAATAGAAGGAACGGGTAATAGAAAGAAGATAGGGTCAACGGATGAGATCCGGCGATCTCAGTCATTTGGGGAAATACACGTTACTCTCCTTTACTTCTATCGCCTGTTGGTCGTGACTCCTGTTTCTGTGGGTTTTGCATCCTGGGTAGTCATGTCCGCCAGTGTGAAGACTCCGGTCTTCTGAAAAAAAAAATGTCTATAAGATTCACTCGCAAGTTTCATGTTAGTATCTCGCCAGCTTCATTATTAGCACATAATCATAATCTTAGCATTTTAAAGCACACGTAGTTCCTAGCATTACCTGTCCACAATGGCGTTGGTTCCTGTTGACCCGGCGCTGTGGAACAAGATGGGGGTCGATGCTGACGAGAACCTCCCCGAGGGCTGGACGTGCGAAACGAGTCTCGAGATCCGCGACGAGGACGGCACGAACCCGCGGGGACTCGAAGTCAAGGCGACGAAGTGGGGGAGCGACATCGTTCTCGCCGATGAGCCTTATGAGAGGGGTTGGACCAACTTCCGGTACATTGTCGATCGGGTGCGGATCAAGACAACGGAACTGTGGGCAAGGCTGGTGTCCACCGCTGCGGAAGCCGCATTCTATCAGGGGATGGCGGCCAACGCGGCATCGGCATTGAATGCGGCTCGTATTCACTCCGACATCTCGTCTCTGCGTCAGCAGGCTGCTTACGAAGTGGCTGGATTACGGCAGGAGGCAGCCATGAACACTCAGATGTCCACAGCGGGTCTCCAGAAGGACCTAGTAGTGATGTCGGAGCGGATGCGGTCCTTGGAGCAACAGGCAGAAACGTCGAAGCGTGACATGGTCGAGCTGCGCCGCGCATATGCGGAGAAGGCTAAGGAACTAGATCGCCAGGTATTTGCCGAACGGGGGACGCTCGTCAGCACCCAGGAGGGATTAAAGGCCCGCGTGGACCACCTGGAGAGCACCATGGCGCTCACAATCCAGACTCAGGTGCGCCAGGAGGTGCAGCGGGAATGCGCCGGCTACGAGCAGCAGCGCGAAAAGTTGGGGAGGACCTTAGCGCGTGTCGATGCGCTCGAGGCCGCGAACACGCAGGCAAAGAACCTGGAAGGGGTTCTTCGCGACTTGTCCACGAAGGTGACAGCCGGAGGGGCTGAGGGCGGCGGTGAGATGACCGCTCACTTGATGGAGGAAATTACACGTTTGGGCGGCGGATTGGCTCAGATCCCGCGGTGCCTCCCACGCATGCTCCATGGGTGGGGGGAAGGAGGTAGGTTTAGCCTGCAGCTTCAAGAGAGCGTCTCGAAAAGTGCGTAGCTCATCGGTATTTCGGGCAGTTGTGTCCGCATAGGATGTCGACTTGAATTCCAGAGTCCCCTGATGCTGCGCCATGCTCGCCTGCTGCGCGCACAACTCTTGGATGAGGGTTTGGGAGAGCACGGGTATCCGGCACAGAAATCGCGCATACGGTTCTTGGACGATGAGGAGGCCAGCGTCGCCAGCGGTCGGCAGGGATTTGACCCCATGGACGTCAGCACGTGGCGCCCCTGGTTCGAGGGTATGAACCCTTGGGAAATTGAGAAGCAGTTGCAGAAGATTTCTTCTCCGCAACGAGGCGGCACGCGCTCCCGCCGTGATCGACGCGTTCAACAATTTAACAAAATGGGTACAACTCGCGGTCGTGGACCCGGCGCAGTGGTCGGACACCATTGGCACGGGCCGACGCTACAGCCTCACGCTGTTCTACCGCACCCACGGTTCCGGTTACTGGATGACGGAGACGGAGTTCCTGCAGGCGTGTGAGGAGAACGCCTACAACTTCGACCCGTTGCAAAAAGTCCTCGATAAGGGTGGAAAAAAGGACAACGGGAAGCCAAAGGCCGCGACACATGGAGGGAGCGCGGTGATACGCTACAACTGTGGCAAGATCGGGCACAAGTCGATGATTTGCCCCCAATCCGCTCGTGCCAGGGGGTCGACCGGGAAGGGGCCGGCGGAGCGACAGGGCAGCAGGGCTTCCTCGGTGGGGCCAAAAAGCGGCCGCGGGGGGCCGTCGTCGTGAACTTTGGCCCCGCGGTTGCCCGAGGTGGAGCTGGCAAAGCTCGTCCCGACTACCACGGTCCGTTACATGGGCACCCACACCACAGAGTTGACAAACTCTCGCGTGCTGCGGGGGTTGCTGAGTGGTTTGGTGACAGGGAAGTAAGGCCGGCACCGTGGCTTGGGCCGGAGCGGCGCGTGGCATTTAGCGGGCATGCGGTTCTGCGTCGGGCGAACCGGAGCCGCGTGGCGAGTGATGAAGAGCAGCGCACGCTCCCGCTGCAGAGTGTGGACGTCCCACCGTTGGACGTGGAGTTCCTGCGGGGCAGGATGAAGGCGTCGACCCGGGCGCGCTTCGATGAGTTGTGGCGGCTGCTATCGTCGCCAGGACAGGACGACCTTGGGGATCCTCCAAGCACGAGCATTTTTGAAGGAGACGCCCGCGCATTGATGAAGGCCGGAGTGCTCGTGCCGGCCTCTTCGCGTCCTACTCGAGGATGGGTCGTTCCGCTCTCCGTTGCGGAGGAGAAGCCAGCCGGGAAGCGGCGACGGTTCATCGCTTGGCCCAAGGCAAAGAACGGCGAAGGCCCCTACGAGGCGGATGTGCCGCTGGGGCACGTCACGGGGTACCTGGAGGCAGTTTGGGAGGAGTGCGCCTCCAACCTCGATCTGAAGGCCTCCTTCTACCAGGTTCCGCTGCCTGAGGAGGCGCGCGCGGCGTATCTCCGTCTGGAGGCGTTCCGGGAGCACTTGCCGGCGCGCTTGCGGGTGCTGATCGACAATACGTCGGTTTTGGGGGCAGTGAGGCGTGGCGTCTCGAAGTTGGGTGCCCTCTCGGTGGAGCTGCAGGGAGTGGATAGGCTGCTGCAAGAGGCAGGTATTCACGCGGTTGATCGGTACATTCGCTCGGAGAACAATGTGGCCGATCTACCATCCCGCGCGCGCGACATCCCACACTCGGCTTTATCGAAGGGGTATCACTTGCGAGGGGGAGACAGGGATCCATGGAATCTCCGGAAGGATCCATGAGCTGGGTAGTGTTTCCTGTGCACTTCGTAATGCGATGGTATCTTTGAGATTCAGACCGAGGCCAGGAAAAGCGAAAACATTGGAGAAAGCTTGAGGGCATTTTCAGAGGGTGACTGATAAGCGAAGGAGTGTGAGGTTCCTAGAAGGCAGCGGTGGTTTAGGACTCGCGGGTTATGCATTACACCAATGTCGTGACATTTCTTCCACTCTTGACTTCCAAACCTTCCTCTTCACGGATCCACACCAATTAGCCGGTGAAGAGACTATCTGTTTTTGTTTTCACTTTACTGCGCGTTGTGCGTCGCCGAAGCTACGTGCGAAGGCAGACCAAAGCTCATCCATTACACACACACACACACAGAGACACGCAAGGAACCTCACCCGATGTGGATCTCTCGCAGGTGCGTCGGGATGACGACAGCTGCGCCGCTTGCCGTTGCCCGGCGACGCGTGCACACCGACCAGCCCACCACTAATCCAGCTGCCACCACCAACAACGCAGACGCCGCGCCGCCCCCTTCCTCCGCCTCCTCGTCAACGTCCTCAAAGGATCTTCAGCTGGACGACACCGATGAATGGATCTTGTCGCAAGTGCGCCGCTCCGTCGAGAGCGGTCGTCAATCAAAAGAGGCTGCCGATTACTTCCGCAGCATCCTGCACGCCCAACCCGAGTTCCATCAGTCGCTGCGGGAGGCCCGCCGGCTGATGGGTGGACAGGAACCGGAGCAGCTCACACGCTACCAACAGGGCCAGTTTGCGGATCGCCTGTGCAACTACATGAGCGGCATCGCCAGCGAGAAGCTGCGCCGCGCCAGCGCAGAGGAGCAGTCCACGCGGCGCTACACGCAAGACGGCACCCCCACCGGGGAGAATTACTGGTTTGAAGCCGGCAACACCCTCGGCTCCCCAGCGGTGCCAGGCTTCGTGAAGGATGAGGTCCTGCACGACATGCAGCAGGAGCGGGCTGCCGCCAGTCCTGCCTTCCTGCGACCGCCGGAGGAGACGCAGATGGCGGAGGAGGACGACGGCTACGCGGCGCACCTACGACGGCAGCGGGACAAGCTGCTGCGTGATGCCGATTTCAAGTAGATGACGCGTAGCACCACGATGCGTGTGTGTGCCGGTGGAACGAGGTGGGGTGAGGTGAGGGAGAAGGGATGTGTGCGGTGGGAAGGACAGAAGCGTTGTTTGCTGAACCAAATATAGGCTTTCCTTACTTCTCTTGTTTTGTCTTATGACGCGTCAAAGAAATCAAAAGGGTAAAGGGAATCCAAACAGGTTTTCAATTCGTGGTTGAGAGGTTCGGCTCCTTTTCTGTGGGCCGCCTTCCCGGGCACGCTTTGCGGCGGAGGCTGCCCAACCTCTGGGGCTGCCTTTGCAGGGCGGCGATTCCTCGAAGTCGGCTGCGGTGGTGGTGACTTCTGCTACCGCTTGCAAAAATAAAAAATCTTCTCCTCTCCCACATGTACTCCACCAGTGTTGAAGAGCTCGATAGTTTGGTGCACCTGGCTACAACGTTGGTGCGGCCGGAGATACTTGTCGTCTTCTAAAAGCTTATTATTGCCTCAATATCTTTCCGCCTCCTTCTTCTGCAACCGGAAAGCTGCCACAATTATTCCTCTTCCTCTTATTCAGCAAGAGGACGGCATCGGCGGGATTTCCTGGACCGCTGCCGCCGCGACCAACGCACGCACGCATTCTGAGATGCAACCGTGCTTCTGATCCGCTGTGCTTCATCGTACCCCCAAAAAGAAATGAGGGGAACATCGCCGACGACTCTTGAAAGCATTTCTTTTTTGTTCTCTCTCTCTCCTGCGTTGCCTCACAGCTTTCGATTGCGCACCTCTCGTTCTTTCCTTCTTGCCATATGCACGCATCAGCATGGCCTCGTTGCGCTCGTTTGTGGTGTACTTTGCCGACCGGCACACCGCCGCCCTCGCCGCTGTCTTTGCCTTTTTCACCGCCATCGTATTTTACTGCGGAGGTCTCGGAATGACCGAGGTGGAGCTGCGACAGGCCGCCGCCGTCTTCGCGGACACGGCAGCTTTCGCACCGGTGCCGCTAGCGCGAATCACCGCCGTGGCTTTTGTGGCGTTGACGGAGGCGGACATCGTCGTGCTCAACGGCGGGCCCCTCCCTTCTTCCCCATACACTTCTTCCTCGTTGCATGCAGGGTGGACTGCGGAGAGAGGTATGGCGATGGCGCGGCGGTGGCATCAACACTACGCGGTGGGCGATATTACCGTCGTGTCGGTGCCGGCGGCCTTCACGTCGCACCCCGTAGTGCGGCACTGGTTCGCCTATCTCGAGTCCCATTGCACCGACTGCCACTTCGTTCCGCTGATGAGCAGTGCGGCTGCAGAAGGGGTGAATAGTACGCTACACGGCCGCCCCTCGTCCTCCGCATTCTCTTTCTATCCGTTTTGCTCCTCTGCGGCTATCGAAAGCGGCAGCGAGTCTCTTCCGACCACCACGAAACACGCAGCAGCAGTGTCGGCGGAGACGCCGTTGGGGGCGCGAGGTCTGGACCTGCTCGTGTGGGACGCGGTTCCTGAAAGGGGTGGTGGTGGTGGCAGTATGATGCCACCGGACATGCCCTTCGGGTGCGGTGTGGTGGTCTTGCTTACACCCAATGCGCTCCGCCGCTACGTGAAGGGACTGCAGGGCAATCGATCGGGGGCTTCCGCCACGACGACGAACACCTCCGGCGGCACGTCGGACTTTGAGGGGTTGCTAGCGCATGCCGCGACGGAGGTGGACCCTCCACTGGATTCTCCTACTGCTGCTGCTGCGTCACCCTTGGACCTGGCCGAACGAAGTATAAAGGCGGAGCGCTTCTACGCTGCGTTGGGTGGTGCGCTGGCGACGCAGGTCAGCACCCGTCTCGGGTACCGTCCACAGTACGTGCTGTACGCGGCGTGGTGCGCCTCTGCCCGCAGCTATGGCTTTCGCACCTCGTCGCCGTCGTCGCTTTTGAATGGGCAATCGATGCTGTACGTCCTGTGCCTGCGCGAGAGCGAAATTGTGGAAGTGACGGCGACGCTGCGGCGGTTTGTGCGGATCAGCGAAGCCTCCGTCTTGTGAAGGAAGTGACAGGAGAAGGGCGATGGAAGCGCGACTCGCTGTTTCACAGGTGCCCCCCATGAAAGCAAGAAAGCTGTCCTGCTTCTGATTGTTTGTTTTTTTTTGGTGAGGCGTCTGGCGGTATTTTGAAGGGCGTCTGCGACATGTTGCCAGCGCAAGCCTTTCCTTTTTGTTTGGGGTCTTTTGCGTCTGCTTTGCCACAAGAGAATAGTAAGGGAGGGAATAAACGGTGACGTTTTCTGTCATCGATGGACCGGAATGAACGCGTCGTGGCGGCTGCCAGCCTTCGTGAAAAGCGGAGAAACGCACGACTTCTCCGTTGGTTTATGGAAACTACGTGCAGTACGGGATGAAACACGGCGAACCGCTTTTAAGCCGTTACATGTAAAAGCAAAATAAAAAAAAACATGTCCAGTTTGTAAACTCCCCGCTCGCCTTATGCCTTTTCACCTACTTGTACTCGCCCCCACTTCTTTTCCTTTTCAAGACTTTATTGTAAGGTACGTCGGCTGCGTTGCACATCCTGTGCCTGCTGAAACAAGTGTTTTATCTGTTATGCGCGGTCTGCTTGATGTACTGGCAGAGTATCGCTGAAAGAAGCCCTCACACACACACACACAGAGACAGAGAAAAAGATTTTACCTCCTCAGCACGCATCGCACGTCTCATTTTTCATTAGCTATTTGTTCTGCATCATCAGCAACCAGCAGCCCCCTCCAAAGTACTCACCTATATAACTGCAAAAAAAAAACATATTATATTTTCTGCCGGTCTCGTGGAGACTCACCACCGCTGGTTTCCGCAACACGCGTGCACGCACACGCACAAGAAAGGAAGCGCTCTTCCTGCAGCGGGGAAGAAGGGCTTGCTTCCTTCGAGTTTGGTGCGCATTCTGTCCTCGAGCATCACCACGGTTCGGCGCTTTCACTTCACATCATCATCAAGAGAATACTTTCGAAAATGGGCGACGGCCTCATCAACTTCGCCAATTTAGGGTGGGTCGGGATCCTGTTTGCGGCCTACTACCTCGCCACCCACCTCGATGCCATTCCCGAGGATCACAAGCGGAAGGTGAGGGACCTGTATGAACGTGTGAAGGACTACCCCCTTTCCGCTATCGTCGTCGCCGCCTGGCTTGCCGTACGCGTCCTCTTCGCCCTGGGCTGGCAACTGCAGCTGGAGTTGCTGCTCGTGATGATTGTGTGCAACTACGGTGTCCGCACCATCGCACGTGCGCGTGGGCGGGCCGCGCAGGACCTGCGCCGCGAGCTGACCGCCTCCGCCAACCCCACTGCGGTGCTCGGCACGCATCTGCCGGAGTGGGTCATGTTCCCCAGCGCGAACCGCGTGCAGTGGCTGAACAGCGTCATTGTGAGCATGTGGCCGTCGATTGTCGCCGCGACGGACACCTCGATGCGGGCGGTGCTGGAGCCGCTGCTGGAGAAGAACCGGCCGTCGTTCGTGAAAGGCTTCCGTATACACAGTGCGAGTATCGGGACGAACCCCATCACCGTGAATGGGATGCAGCACCACGCCTACGGCAGCACCGAGACAACGCTCGATATTAATGTGTCGTGGACGGCGGACATGGACATCCGCTTGCTCATCCGCGTACCGGGTCCCGACATGGAGGTCTCCGTGACGGACTTCGAGATGAAGATGACGGTGCGTGCGGTGCTTGGCCCGCACATCCCGCAGTGGCCGTGCTTCGCGAACATCGGCATCTCCATCGTGAACACGCCAGAACTCGACTTCAACATCACGGCGGGAAAGATTCCGCTCGACGCGGTGCCGGGGCTCGGCGATTTCCTCGAGCACTTCATCCGCCGTACGCTGGTTGGGGTGCTGGCCTACCCCAAGTCAATCGTGATCCCGATTGTGAAGGGCTACGAACTCAAGAAAGGCCTCGGCAGCGGCGCGCTGGGCACGCTGAAGGTGCGCTTCCTGCACATCGGCAACGTGGAGAAGAAGTACAACAAGTACAAGAAGACCCCGTTCTACTGCAAACTGGCGCTGGAGGGGCAGTCGAAGCGGCTGCGGACGGCTTCCTACACCGGCTTCGAAAAGCCCATGACGGACGCCTTCTCCTTCACCATGTACGACAACACCGGCATCCTGCACGTGTGGTTCGCCTTCGACGTCCCGGGCAACGATCTGCACGTTGGCCAGTGTGACATCACGACGAAGCAGTTAATGGAGACGGACCTGGACGAGGTGGAGCTGATCATCACGAAGGAGTCCGACGCCTCGCACGCGCGCCGCGTGTCCGTCTTTGTCAAGCCGGAGTTTTTCGCCTTCACGAGTCGGGAGCAGCAGCAGGCGCCGGCCGCGCCGCCCGACACGCCTCCGCCGCGCATGTCGACGGCGCACTTCCGCGACGAGGTCAGCATGGGCCGGCCGCCCACCGTCCCGACCTCGCGTGGCAGCACCCCCCGGCACAGCCTCGGTGGAACGACGTGCAACTCGGGCACCCTCTTTGTGCACGTGGATCGCGCGACGAACTTAAAGAATCTGGAGTCGGTGGGCAAGTCGGACCCCTACGTGTTGCTGCGAGTGGGCACCTCGACAGCGCGGTCGCCGCACATCAACAATAACCTCAACCCCGTCTTTAACTGGGATGGCGAGGTGGAGGTGGCGAACTGCGAGACGGATGTGCTGCTGGTGCGCCTGGTCGACAAGAACGTGAAGACAGATAAGCTCATTGCCGAGCTGCAGATGCCGCTGACGCGCTTTACGGAAAACCAGAGCGACAAGATTAATGGCACCTTCCCGCTCTCACCGCGAGGCTCCATCACCTTCTCCGCCAGCTTTATGCGCCACACGTAGGTCGAAGAGCTCAGCATCAAAAGGCGAAAACAACTACAACATCTGAGAGGCACTGCCATGTTGGGAAGGGAGATATTTTGTTTTTGTTTGTTTAGGCTGCGTGGAGAAGGCAAAACAGGCAGGCGAGAAAGCCCGACGACGCGGATCACGGCAGTGATCGTTCTTGTTTTGTTTTAGAACCGTGCTCTCGAGACAAACAGTTCTTTTCTGTACTCCTCTTTTCTTCCGTTTTTTTGTGGTGCACATGCCACTTTCGATGATCCCTCCCCTTTTCTCTCTCTCGTATTCTGCCTCTCTCTCTCTCTCTCTCGCACTTACTTTCCGGTTTGATCGCTCAGCCGTTCTTTGCTCTCCCGCGTATTGCCCTCCTCTTGCGGACGACGCGACGCACGCATCGAGGGAGCGCGCACCGCACAACGCTGAGAGAGGGGGAGAACGGTCAAACTTAACCAACATACGCAATCAAAACCACTTCTTTGTAGACTAAAGAAAGATATATATATATAAACCGAGTTGTTTTGTTGCAGCAGCGTTCACGTGGAGGTTTCTTGCAAACACACTGACACACTAGTATTCGAGCTAAGCAGCTAAATCTGAACCAATGCCCTCTCTTCTGTTGCTTTTGCCTGTCTTTTATTTTCTTACTTGATATCGGCCACCTTCGACGTCGACTTCGTGCGTCATTTCTTTCTTTCGTTTTTAGTTCTCGCTCTACGAAAAGTTTTCTGATTCGCGCAGGCGGTCGTGGTGCGAAAAACACACGGCAAACATAAAAAGGACAAAACCCCGAACGAGAGAGGTTGTTGCTGTGTCGAACTTCCTAAAGAAGGCTGCCGAGACTGCGCCTGATGCCGTAGAAAGCATTTTGTCTTATCTGATTTTTGTTGTTGTTGTGTCTGTGTGTGTGCTCACATCGTTCCTTTCTTTTCTTTCTTTCTACTGTTGCGTTTATCTGCGAGCGCAGTTTTCTGTCCCCCCCCCCTCTCCCTCCCTCTCCCTCTCCCTCCTCTCTCCCTTTCTTTCTAGACGCCCACCTGCGACATTGCGTGTTCCTCCCTGCTCGGTAGAATTCGGCTCTCCGGGCCTCCTGTTCTTTTGTCTGTTTCACGTCCTTTTTTCTTCTTCGTCTTCTTCGTGCGCTTCGAATCCCGCTCGTTACGCCTACCGTTTCTCCTTGTTGGTGTTGTTCTTTTTCTTACTTTCAAACCGTAGGCGTTCCTTGTTGTGTGGCCACCTCTCTCTTGTTGTTGTTGTTCTTCGTTTCTAAATCAGCCCCCTTTATCTGTTCGCTTACGCTGTCGCTCCCACCACCGCTGCGTACCACTACTATGCGCGACAAACGCCTGTTGCTCTATTGTGCGTAATGTCTCATTCAACAACTAAAGCACACACACAGTAAATCATGAATACACATGTATTTGTTGCCCTGTTTCTCCGGTACATCGAGGGAAGGGGAAAAGCACCAAGTCTCCCCCACTCCTTCCACCTCAAATCGCTAGCACGTTGGATGAGGCTGTGTGAGCGGAAGACCTTATGACTGTAGGACGATGCTACCTCGCTGCCCGTTTCCCTTCTTCGCGTTGCTCACGTGTCAGACAACACTATCCTTTCTTCTCCCTTCTCTCTTCCTCTCTCCCAACGTACCTGTCGTTCTTTCTTTTCCCTTTCTATTTGTTGTCGGTCCCCCTCTCTGGGTGCGTACGCAAGAAGGTCCATCCACAGCGGTGAAATAAGTTAAACTCCCTTTTTATTAAGAATATATATATTCTAAGGTGGCAGCCGTGCCCCGATCGCGTCCGTGCGTCGTACCTTTCTGTCTTGAATTCCCTGCACAGCGAGACACCACGTTGAACTCGTTGCGTACTCTTCCTTCAAGAGTACACGCGGATACGCCCGCCATCACAGAAGTCTTTTTTCGCCTGCTGCAGGATGGGTAAGAACCCGCCGAAGTGGCTGCCTGGCGAGCGGGTGAAGGAGACGATCCTGCTGCAGCGAAAGTCGGTCGAGCAGCTCCGCGCGGACCGCGTTCTGCGCAGAGATAAACTGCAGGAGCGTCGCGAGCGCCACAAGAACAAGCTCGATGCGAAGCGCAAGCGCAAGTTGGCGACCAAGAAGTTTATCAACGCGCAGACTATATTGAAACACGCGCAGCGCAAGGAGCACCAAGGCCGCAAGTTTCAAAAGCTGGGCGAGAGGACGGAGGGTCAGCGTCGCAGGTCGAAGCAGGAGAACTACATCAATAAGCTAAAGAAGAGCCCGGTGAAGCTGGTGGTGCGGGCGAAGGGCAGCCAGATCCCCCCCGAGGTAGCAGCGGCCTTCCGCAAGTTAGGACTAGAGAAGATCTACTCCGCCCGGCTGATTTGTTTGACGCCGCGCACACACAAGATGATTCGACAGCTCACCCCGTTCTGCATTGTAGGCGTGCCGGACCGCGCGCAGCTTGAGTCGCTGCTCCGCACCCGTGGCTCCCTCTACAACGAGGAGACCCAAACGAAGCGGTTCATTAGTGGTAACCTGCTGCTGGAGCAGGCCTTGGGCCAGTACAACATTCTGTGCATCGAGGACCTCGTCGAGACGATCGCCACCCGCTCCGAGCACGTGGAGACGGTGCTTCACCACATCGCACCCTTCGACTTCCACCCACCGCGTCAGCTCTTCGTCGAGCGGCACCGGTCGGTGCATCAGAAGCTGGAAATCGTCAACAAGGACTCCTTCGCTGCCTACCTGGCCGATCAGCTGAAGCTGACGGCGAAGAAAGAGCGCAGGGCGAGTGCGGCTGCCAAGAAGGAGAAGAGGGCGACTGGGAAGCGCAAGGCTGCGGCGTAAAAAGGAAGCAAACAGCGAAGTTTAATTTCGTTTTTTGTTGTTGTTGTGGGTGTGGAATATAACTCTGTTGTCTAATCGTTAAGGCGCTCTTGTGTTGGGTGTGTGTGTGTGTGTGCGTTGTAACCAGAAGCGCTGTGCCCGTTTAATGCTCGCTGATTAACTGAGATTAAGTACACGCAGAAACAAAAGCAAGCAAACAAGCAAGAATGAATCGGGGTCCGCTGCCTCGGCTACAAGAGGACTACGAAGCACGCCGCATTTGTGCAGCGCAGCGCAGCGCCCGCTCGGTGTGAGAGGCGTCTCTCTTGCACCTCTTGCTTCTTCTACTACACCCGCCTCGCATTTTTTTTCTTTCACACGTCCCCCCCCCAACTGGCTGAACTGTGCGGTGACAAGGGTAAGGAAGTACTTGTGTGATCACGGCTTCTTCACAGCAGGCAAAGAAGGAACACAAGGGAGAAGTTCGTAGTAAAATGAAAGTTCCGAAGCTGCGGCGTCGTTCTCCCTTTTCCCTTTACGCCGTGTGAAACACTCCATCGCTGAGCAAGGCAGCCCTCCTCCTTTTTTTTAATGGAATCTAAATTTCATTCCTGCGACATCTCTTCCCTTTCTGCCTCTTTTTCATTTTCCGCCTCTCCGCCTCTCCACGTAAACACTCCACACACCCGCGCACAACTATGCTAGGTGGCGGCCCAACTTTCAACTGTACGAATTTCGCATCTTGACACACACACACACACTCATATATATATATATAACTATAAAGGAAGAAACACAGCCCCATACACACTCCCCTTCACGTTTCTTCTCCCACCACACCGCACAGCCAACTTCATACACACACACACACGCACGCACGCACACCCCAAAGATCATGGCTGGCGTTCCCTCGCAATCTCGATTTGGGTGCTACATCGGCAACATTGACCGCTCCGTCACGATCGACATGTTGAAGCAGGTCTTCTGCCAATGCGGCACCATCGTCGACTGCTCACTGAACGGGCGCGAGGGCGATCCTTACCGTTTTGGGTTCATCGACTTCGTGACGGAGGACGACCGGTCACGGGCGCTGAAATACAACGGCTTCACCTTAGTCGGGCGCAAGTTGAAGGTGGGGATCAGCAAAGGCAACGTGAACAAGCCGGAGGGATACGCGAATGGCAACCCGGGCGGTGGCGGCGCGGGCCACAACTCCGACCGCTCACGTCAGCCGTACAGCAGCAGCGGTGGCAGCAATAACTACCGCGGTGGCGGAGGCGGGGGTGATGGAGGCGGTGCGGGTGGCATGAACGCCGGTGGCCTGACGACGCAGCAGCAGATTGAGGCTCGTCTGCTTCTCCAGTTTCTGCAGGAGGGCAAGATGGACCCGCGTCAGCTCTCGCCGGCACAGCAGCAGCTCCTCATTGCCTCTCTGGGCCAAGGCAGCGCCAACGGCAGCGGCAGCGGCACTCCAATGGATAGTAGCAACGGCGCTCCTAGCATGATGGGGCAGCAGCCTTCGATGGGCAATCCAATGATGCCGATGATGGGCGGCATGAACGCGATGATGATGACGTCGCCAAACATGCACATGGGTGGTGGCGGCGGCAACAACAGCCAGATGATGATGGGGACGCTCGGGCAGGGCGGGTACGGCGGATCCGGCATGATGCCGCCGCTGAACGCGCGCTCGCCGCAGCCGTGGGGCTACGGCATGCAGCCCGGCGGCGGGGCGATGTATCCCTCCCCACCCATGATGGGTGGTGGTGGTCAGCAGACCCCTCCCCAGCAGCTGCCACCATCGCAGCCGCAGCCGCAGACGAACTACGGCGCCAGCGGGGCCGGTGTGTTGAGTGGTGGGGCGGCGGGCCAGGGCTACGGCCTCGCCCCCGGTGCGGGCGGGTTGATGGTGAACGCACCGCCCTCGGCGGAGACGCTGCGGCTACGCGAGAAGCAGCGGGAGCAGTTTTTTGAGGTGGTCCGCAAAGACACGGAGAAGTACGAGCGGAAGTTGCAGGAGAAGAAGGCGCAGGCAGCCGCTGGCGGTGGTGGGGAGCACAGTGACAGCTCCGCCTCTGACGACGACGAGAAGCCGGCGAAGAAGTCGAAGAAGGAGACGCCTTCTGGGAAGTAAAGGAAAAGAAAAGGCAGGCGTAGCGTCACAACGACTCAACGGAGCGAATAAATGGAAAGAGAGCGAAAACGACAAAAAAAACAAAGAAAAATCAATCACACACCCTCACCCACGTACCCGATCCAAGAGATGCACTTCAAGCATCCGTGCCTCACGCATGTGCTTGACTCCATGGAAATGGAGAGCAGAGAAGAACGTTGCAACGTCTCTTGCTGATGCGATCAGCGTACATGCTAGCACAGGCAGACACACAGATATCCAAAGCGGTTTCGCTCTCGTAGACGTTTGTGGTGTGAAGGAAGCGTCGAATCCGCTCAAAAGGGGTTGCCTTAAATGTCCTTCGTTTCTTTCTCCTCTTGGTCTTGCGTTTGTCTTCTTGCGTCTTTGTTTGCATCTCGCAAAAAAGATAATAATAATAATAAAGGATAATGCGCGATGCCCGTTCTTTCTGTCCTCCGTCGAGCGATCACCTCAAGTCTGCAGCGCGATAGAATGTGTCTCTAAAGAAATGCAACGTAATTATCTGTTGCCTTTCTTGATGTACGTGGTGCGGTGGTCTACGTTCCAATTTTATTAATATATATATATATATATAAATTTATTTAGGTACTTCTGATGAGAAGCATCATACTGTTCTGTTTGATTGATCCGGAGTGTTAAAGGAAGCAAGCCTTCCTTCTTTTCTCTCTCTTTCTCTTTAATGCAGCATTCATACAGTTCTATTTTGGAGGTTTCATGCTGATGCTGCTGTGTGTGTGCGTCTGTGGGTATAGTGCCGTTTTTTCCTCTCTGTGGTGGCGCTTTCTTGTGTTGTAATCTGTATTAAGATATTTATTTATTTGTGTGCTTTCATGGCGATTCGTCGTCTCACTAAGAAGGATTATTTATCTATGTTTCTCTCAACGTCGTGTGCGCGTGGGTGTGTTGGATTGGAGCTTTCATCGCTTCGGGTCATAACTGAAGCCGATCAGCGTGTCCGGGGGTTTTCCCTCCCTTTTATGAGTTTGAATGCGAGTTGGTAAAGGCAGCTTTTGCTGCGCCGCGTTGTGAGAGGCGTTGAGGCCTTCCTTGCGAAGAAAAAGAAAGAGATCTACATAAGCAATCACCAACGTAAACGGAAGCACCAGCGTGGGCGCCTTTTTTAAGGAGAGAAAGCGCCGACACGCCATGGCGAGCCCCTGAACAAGGGAGAGTAGTGACTGGGGTTTTCTTGATGCGGCAACCGCCTCGTCGCGGTGCCGTTCTATCGCTACGTGGGGGATGACCGTGCACGAATAACAAAAGCCTCCTGTTGCTCTGCGGGGCTTTCATCCGCTTGATGCTTCTTGTCTGCACTGCGATACACGGAATTGCGGACATTGGCATAATAAATAATAAATGCCCCCTCCATGCTTGTTGCTGTATTCCACACGCTAAAGCTGTTTTTTTTTCCTCAACGGACTCGCTTTCATCTTTCTCCTCCTTATTGGTAATAAACAACCCGGACAAAAATAAATACGCCTTCACCTTTATTAATAGGTTTTCCCAGCAATCGTCCACCTCCTCACATTTCTGTGTCGCCCTCCCCCCTCCCCCCCCGCCCACGAAACAACCTCTACTGTTTCTTTCTTTATTATTGTCGGTGCTACTTCGCTCACCGGAGCGTGCGTCACTGCCACTCTCCCCTGACCGTCAACGCTGTCTTCGTGCGCGCGTGTGCGTGTGTGTGCGTGTTTGATTGTACGACGTCGAAGGTCAACCGTACGTCCTGCGTCAACAAGTTCCATCCAGACTGCGTTGGTGACTCACATCCTTCCGTCTTTACAGCTATTGCTTCGATTACCTCGACCGTTCCCCCTCCCCCCTCCTTTATCCTAATGGCCAAGGTTGGAGAAGGTGACCCGCGCTGGATCGTCAGCGAGCGCACCGACGGCGCCAACGTGAACTCATGGCACTGGGAGGAGCGCGACCTCTCTCAGCACACCCACGAGCAGCTGAAGGGCGTCTTCGCCAACCGCGACATCCCCATCCCGCAGAACCTGTCGAGCGCTGTCGAGTACCTCAAAATCGAGGAGGTGAGCGAGATCGCAGGCGACGTGACGGTGGCGCAGCGGAAAGGCAAGATGATGTGCTACTTTGAGCTGAAACTGCAGCTCCGCTGGGCCGGCAAGATGAAGGGCGATGACACGGTCATCCGCGGGAAAATGGACGTCGCCGAGGTCGACCACGATGAGTTCAAAAACGACTACGATATCACCGTCACGTGCCAGGAGAACAGCCAGAATGCGCAGACGCTGGAGGCGGTCGTGCGGGAGGCCGGCCGTGCGACGGTGCGCCAGGAGATCGAGAAGTACTTTGCGAAGGTCTTCGAGGACTACCACATCGGCAAGCAGCTGAAGAGCGGGGCGGCGATGCCTCCGCCGCCCACGACGACCGCCGCTACTGCCTCCAACGCCGCGTCCACTGCAGGCCGCAAACCAGCCCCGTCGGACAAGTCTGGCAGCGTCGCAAAAAGCACCGAGGCGACGTCGTTTTCGTGGAAGATGCGCTGGGGGGTGCCGATGGAGGAGCTGTACGCCACGCTGACCGACGCGCGCCGTGCCAGCGCCTACACGCGCAGCGCCGCCACCATGGACGTGAAGGCGGGTGGTCAGTTCAGCTTCCTCGGCGGTGTCATCAGTGGCTACTACGTCGACGTGCAGCCGCCCGCGGTGCTGAAGCAGCAGTGGCGCCTCGGCAGCTGGCCCGTCGGCGTGCACAGCTCGGTGGTGCTGCAGCTCGAGAAGGAGGAGCCGGGCGTGACGGTGCTGCACTTTGCGCAGTCCGGCATTCCGGCCGGCCAGCTGCAGAGCGTGCAGGAGGGCTGGCGTGCGAACTTCTTTGACGCGATCAAGGTGGTCTTTGGCTACTCGCTGGAGTACCTGTAGGGGGGAGACACCGCGTGGAGAAGCTCTCGAGGAAAGGGGGAATCTGTTTTCCTCCTCCGTGTGCACTTCTGCGTTGGAAGCGTTAAGGACGTTCGAAGAAGGAAGCGAAAAGAAGAGGAAAGTTTCAAGGGCGGGCGTGTGAAGGATGGCGGTGGCACGGCGGAGGGAAATGCACGTTTGTTGATGCCGCTCTCGACGCTCTCGTCACCTGCTCGCCATGTGCTTTTTTGTTTTTACTGTTTTTCTTTCGGTCCACGACCTTTGTGGCTGGGAGGCGGAGTCGACGGCTTTGCCGCACCGTTGCCGCGGTGCTGCGCTTTCGCCTTCGTTTCTTGTTCTTGCCTTCGAGTATTGTTATGGTGATTACTATTATTCTTCCACTTTTACTAACAACAATAAGACGCAGATTCCTCGACAAAAAGAACATAAAACACGCGAGAAATTAAAATCAAAACCAAAAACAACAACAACAATGAAACGCCGAAGTCCGTCACATCAGCCAGCGCCGCAGCTCCACGAGTTGCCGCGAGAACCTGCTGCGACGCGATGGATGCACCTTCAACGCGAGTAGAACGCGGAAGGCACGCAACAGGCGATGAGGTGGCGCAGTGCTCTCGCTCGCACTTGCACGGGGTGGCCGCGCCGTCGCTTGCGGCTTCCTTTCGCTTTGCTTTCCACACACCTTTTTTTCTGCACTGCTGCAGAGGTGAAGTGCAGCTGAGCTCTCAAGTTCGTCGTCTCTCCTTACCGGACATCATCCCCCCCGCGTTCTTCTCTTCTTCTTTTCTTCTATGCGTTGCTCCGCATCGAATGCGTGCTCCACACCTGATGTTCATCACCACTGCAAAAGGCGAAGCAGCACTGCGAGAGCATCAACAAGGACAGAAAAATTACTCTGTTTTTTCTTTTTCCCGTTTGGCAATCAAATAATAAAACACTCCCGATTTCACCCCACATCGACTGAGTCATACGGATTCGCTGAGTATTGCAAAAGCGAACAAACAAACAACAACAGCCAAAAGATCCGGCATCAGCGTTTTGTACAAGCGGAAGGGCGCAAACCACCACAGTGCACACCGTTTCTCTCTCTGTACTTACCAACCTCCCCCCCCCCCCCGAATGAGTTCGGAGAAGAAGATCGTCGTCATCGGCGCCGGCCCGGCGGGTCTCGGCGCTGCCATTCGCCTCAAGGAGGCGCAACACGCCAACTACCACCTCTACGACGCCGCGCCCACGCCCGGCGGTCTCTCGCGCACCGTGACGGACGAATGCGGATTTCTGTGGGATATGGGTGGCCACGTTATCTTCTCTCACTACGCCTACTTCGATGATGTGATGAACATGGCGATTCAGGACTGGAACTCGCTGCAGCGGGAGTCGTGGGTGCGGTGTTGCGATGTGTGGGTGCCCTACCCGTTTCAGAACAACATCCACCGTCTCCCCCTCGCGGTGCGGGACAGCTGTTTGGAGGGCCTGGAGGCGGCGGAGGCGGCGCGCGCGCCTGGTGCGGCCGTCACCCAAGAAAAGCCAAAGAACTTTCTCGAGTACGTCGACCGCCAGTTTGGCGAGGGCATCTCTGCCGTGTTTATGCGGCCCTACAACTTCAAGGTGTGGGCCGTGCCGCTCGACGTGATGAGCACCGAGTGGGTCGGCGAGCGAGTGGCGAGCGTCAACGTGGCCCGCATCCGCGAGAACATCGAACTGAATCGCGACGACGTCGGCTGGGGACCCAACGCGACCTTCCGCTTCCCCAAGTCCGGCGGCACCGGCGCGATCTACAACGCGGTGTGGAAGATGGTTCCGGAGGCCCACAAGACCCTCGGCGCGGACTGCCGCGTCGTGAAGGTGAATCCGGTGAAGAAGCTGCTGACGATGCAGGGCGGCGCGGTGGTCTCCTACGACGCGCTTGTCTCGACGATGCCCTTTGATGATCTGCTCTGCGCCGTGGCCGATGGCGTTGAGGAGGAGGAGAGGGAGGGCAACACGGCCGCCCTTGCCGGTCTGAAGCCCGCCCGTCTGCGTGCGCTGGCGAGCAAGATGGTCTACAGCTCCACCCACATCGTCGGCATCGGCGTGCGAGGGGTGCCGCCGCTGGAGATGCAGACGGCGTGTTGGCTGTACTTCACGAGCGAGACGATCCCCTTCTATCGCGCAACCATCTTCTCTCGCTACGCGGCGGCCAATGCACCGGCTGGGTGCTGGAGCCTCATGGTCGAGGTCAGCCAGAACGCGGCATACAAGCCGGTCAACACGGCGACGCTCGTCGAGGACTGCATTGCGGGCCTGCGCGAGGCGACGCTGCTGACCGACACCGACGAGATCGTGTCCCGCTGGCACCACGTGGAGAAGAAGGGGTACCCCATCCCCTTTGTCGGCCGCAACGAACTGCTGGAGGAGGTGCAGCCGATCTTGCGCGACACCTTTCACATTTACTCCCGCGGACGCTTTGGGGCGTGGCGGTACGAGGTCGCCAACCAAGACCACTCCTTCATGCAGGGCGTGGAGGCGGTGGGCCACATCCTGCACGGCACGGCCGAGGAGACGGTGACGAACCCAGCAAAGGTGAACGGGCAGCGTAACGAGATGCGCTGCTCGCTGTAGCGCGCGCGTGTGTGTGGCACCCGCTCGCGAACACCCGAAGCACGAGAGCGTTTGGCCAACGAACAGCTCTTGCAGTTCTTCTTTTTTCCTTTTACATTGATGCGTTGCAGCCGCCGGCCCCGTTCCTCCTTTTCCATAAATCGAAGGAACACCGCAAGAGCTTTTGTGTTTTACTGTGAGTTTCTTTTTGCGTATTCTATCGTTTTTTCTTCTTCCTCTTTTGCCACATTGTTCCTTTTCTTAAAGTGCATGATGTCTTCGCATTCGACACCGGCAAAACGAGTATCTCCGATGGGGGGGGGGTGATACGTGGGCATCGTGGCTGAGGGGGTGCATCTGCACACCTGCACAGGGCAGAACACCCCGCTGCAGCGAGAAACAAACCAAGAAACAAACATAAACGCTTCTTGATAAGTGATTCAAAACTTCGATTCCTATGAGCACATAACTGCGTTTGTCTCGCGGCAGACAAGCGAGAAGGAAAAAAAGCACCTAAATCCAGAGGAGTGCGAACAGTGGTCTGCGATGACAAGCGGCACTTTCCTACCCACACAGACACATAAAAAGCCACACTTTCAGGCAGCAGAGTTGCTGCGTGATCCGTAAAGAAGACACGCGTGAGCTCCGCTCCTCGTGGTCGCATCGTGCGTCAATGCCCCCGGCCTCCCCTTCCTTTTTTTTCCTGATGTCTTTGAATGATACTCCTACCCCTCTCCTCGCCTTCTTCTTGTTTTTTTCCCTTTGCACACGCGCTTCTCACCCTTTTCCCGTCTCGCGATCCCCACGACTCATACTCCGCGTTTCACGACCCGCTCCCGACTCGTTCTCCAACGCATCAAGTTTAAGCATTAACAGCAACGTTTCCTTTTTCTCTTTCGTTTCTCATGGTTTTCTCTCTTCCTCCGATTTTATGATCACTGTTTAATCTCCACATTGTTTTGAGTCTTCTCCGTTTCCGCGTTGCCATCCTTCCTCTTCATCTCCTCTGTTTTTCTTACAAATTCAAAAAACAAAAAAGAACCAAAAACATTTCCTTTCTTTTTCTTTTATTTGCGAAATTTCTTCTTTTCTTTTGTGTTTTTTCCCCTCCGTTGCGTTGTAACTCTTCAGAGTTTGCGGATCCGCGCGTTACGCCTTTGCGCTCTCCGTGTAGAACACAGTTAACGGAGATATACGTGTATGGCTGTTCCTGCGCCTTCCGGAGCTGTTTGAGTGTTAAACGTTCGAATCCGTTCTTCTCTTCTTTCTCTTCTTTCTCAGGATCATTCTCCCCCCCCCCCCCCACTTTCTTGTTTCTTTCCTCTACGGGAAAAGGAAAGGTCTGCTTTTCCGTCTCTCTTCTCATCTCCTCGCGAAAACAACGGAAGATACGACAAGCGATATTCCAAAGTTGAAGAAGGCAATTGAAAGAAAAATAAATAACAACTAAAAGCAGTTTGCCGTAGATTTTTTTCTGTTGTTGCCGGCTCGAATTTAAAAGAACATTACAGCGCCCTCCCTTTTTTCTTTATTATATTACTTGTCGCCTTCCCTCAAGTTACTCCACGAAGAACACCTCTGGAACACGCTGAGAGCGAAGAAACGCGCTTCCAATTCACGCACGCCTTTCTTCGTCCTCTTTTTCTCTCTTGCTCGCCGTAAGACCAAAAAAAGGGAAAAAGACCAGCAAACTGACCATTCTTGTGCTGATTTAATCTTTTTTGCAGCGTGTTTACAATATCTTTTCCATCCTCTTTGTTTGTTTATTACTACTGTTATTCCGACTACCTTGCACCCGCCCCCCAGTCTGCCAGTTGCTTGCGGCGTTAACTGTTCCCACGTTAGCTAGTCTTCGGATTTCACGACATATTCCGGCTAAATCGTCCCCTCCTTTGTGGGTTCGCCTTCCATCAGTTTCTTCTTTTATTATTATTACTGTTGGCGTTATCGGTTTTTTTTTTTGCCCTTTTCTTCTTGTGTACGAGACGCTGAAACCCCTCCCACAGCTTTCCAGTGTGGCACCTTCAGTGCAGCAATAAAAAGGACCCCCTTTTCCCCCCTTTCCGAGTGCGTGCGAGTTGTCTCTCGCAGCATCTTCAGTTCTGAAAGCAAAGCAAACATCAGCAGTAGGCAAGCGCCTTGCAAAACATTTATTATTGCCAGCGTTACAAGAAACACAAACACCCATGCACACACACATACCCACGAACGTGCCCACCATAAACAAAACAATTCTAAAGGAATATCAAAAAGAAAAGACAACAATAACTACCTCTACCAAATCGCACTGTTTCATTATTATTATTATTATTATTCTCTTCAGCGAGCTTGCCGGCCGAAACATTTTCTTCACTTCTTCGTCGTTCACCTCAGCCTGAAGCGAAGCGAACAGCGTGCTAAAAGTCTGTTTTAAAAGAGAAGTATCAGGTGAGTGTGCCATCTCTCTCTCTTTTTCGTTTTTCAATTTTTCCCGAAATTATAGTGTTTTCTTTTCTTGTTTCCGCGTGTGTGCGCATTCTAAATCATCGTCTCCAAATAAGTTTTGTTTGTGTTTGTGATTTTAATAACAGGGCTTTTTTTTGTCTCTTTCTCTCTCTCCCCTCTTCACGGAAAAATATCAAAATCGCCTCTAATACAACAAAGAAATCAAGAGAACCGAGCAAAAAAAAAAGAATGAGCCTCATGAAGCACTCTTTCAACGGACGCGTCAACACTGGGACGGAGAGCCGGTTAAACCTGCTCGTCCGCTACCTTGACCACACCGTCGACGATGATCAGCTGCGCCGCTACTTCGCTCAATTCGGTGACGTCACATCCTCGATGGTGATGCGCGATATCTTGACCGGCGAGAGTCGCGGCTTTGGCTTTGTGCGCTTCGTCCGGCCCGCCGAGGCCATGCGGGCGATGGCGGCAACGGACGGTAAAAAGATTGGCGGAAAAGCTGTCAACGTCCTCTGGGCGAAGCAGCAGCACGACATGGCTCCCGCCGGTCAGGAGCGGCTGAGGATGAACAAACTCTTCCTGCGCAACGTGCCGATGGATGTGTCGGAGCAGCAACTCGTCTCCCTCGTCCGTCACTGCGGCGACGTGACGGAGGTGTCGCTGCACAACGATCGCATTTCGGCCTCTTGCCACGCCCCAAGCCGCCGAATTGCCTTTATCGTCTTCAACACCGAAGGCGCGGCCGAGGCGGCGCTGCACGCCGTTCACAACACCTGTCCCTTCCGCAGCTGCCACAACATTCCGCTGATGGCGAAGCTGTCGGAGGATTACAAGGCGAAGAACCTCGCGCACAACAGCAGTAGCAGCTGCAGCAGCACTTCGCCGGAGCGGTACCCCGAGACCCCCGCCTACGCCCTTCCTGTACCGCTGCGTCGCAAGTCGCAGGACGTGATTTCCGTGCCGCTGATCGTGAAGTTCGCGGAACTGAACGGGTGCCGCGTGTCGACACCGAATAGCACGATGGCACGCTCGCCTGGCATCTCCAGCCTCGTCCCCTCGCTCGAGTCGACGAGCCTGGAAATGGGCGCCGTGGCGTCGGTGCGGGCCACGTCCATCGTGGAGCTGGAGAACAGCGGCCACTTAGCCAACTTGTCGCTCAGCACGCCGATGCGGCACCTCTCGAGGGAGGCGCGGGTGTACCGCCACTGCCCGTACTCCGGCACCCAGATAATCCCGGCGAGCATGACGATGAGCTGCACTTCAATCTACGCGGACTCGCCCGTGGCGCAGCGCCCGCCTCACAGGGTGTAGGAATAGAATACACTATTGCACGGAGAACTGGTGTGGTTTGATTCGTGTCATTATCTTCTCTCTCTCTTTATATATATATATATATGTTGTGTGTAGCTGTGCGCTCTCTCTCCCAGCTCCCCCCTCCCCCCTTAAGTGCTTCTGTGCAAGTCCTGCGCCTTCGTTGACGGAGTCGGAGCGGACATCCACTCCGGTGCGCGGAGAGCCGGCGTTTTTTAAAGAGTTATTTCTTCTTTTCTCAGCGTAAAGAGAAAAAAGAAAGCAGTGGGAATTCCGCATCTCCGCAGCGGAGGGGTTTCAATGGCATTTGATGACGACGACGACGATGATTTGTCGTTTCATTGGTGAGGGGCTTTTCTCTCTCAACAGATTCTTTTTTTTTCCCCTTTCAGCGTCTCTTCGTGGTACGGCCGTGCGCGTTCCGGGCACACGCGTCATCCGACGAGACTGCGCCGCAACGCAAAGAAGCACAGCTGAGTTTGCTGATGAAGCCTCTTCCCCAGCGTTGAAGGTTCCTTGCGGGAAACGCGATGACACGGATAGCCTGCACCGATGCATCTTCGGGAAAGGGTCGTCACTGGACGGAAAACAGAAAACAAGAGAGAGAAGGAGCTGAGGAGCCACAATTTTGGTTTGTATTCCGAGCAGCACTTGTACCTCAACTGTTGTAGAAGGAAGAGGTTCCGATGACTTCTTCCTTCGCTTCCCTGTTTTGTACGTCCTGTTACTTCGCTTTCGATCTGCGAAGGAACCCTCTTCATCTGCCCTTCCTTTGTCAACTGCACACTCGGGCGGAGGGGCGGAAGCCGCGTAAGCTTTCGCACACACACACAAAATAGGAGGGGGAAAAACCAACTGGTAGCTCGATTTCTTGGAAGAGAGATTCGCGAAGGATGCAAAGAGATCATACGCGACCCGCCAAAAGATTTGTACTTACCGGATTAATTGTCCTGTAGAACATTTTTACTTTGCTTTTCCTCTTTTCGCTCTTGAATCTGTCGGTACTCGCAAAGTTTGTCGTTTCTTCCTCTTTTTCTTTTTTTCCCTTTTTTCCCGATTGCTGCATAAAATGAGAATCTTTTTCTTTCTTGTGTGTCGGCGGTAAGATGCTCTGTTCTGGATGTGGACTCTTTCGTGTGTGTGTGTGCTCCCAACGTTGCGCTCTTTCTTCTCGTGGCCGTGTGGAGTCAAAGGTCCGCACCACCGCCACAGGGGTTATAATGGGCTTCGTTGGCGTGAGATTCATTTTGAAGAGCTCCCCTTTTTTGTGTTTGTGCACTGGCGTCGTGTAGTGGTGGACTCTCTTCGCTTCCTTTTTTTATATTTCCCTGTAAACTCCTCTCTTGAGTGTCTTCATACCCCACGTTGCTTTCTGGTTCTCCACTGTAAAAACCCCAAAATCTTTTCATTAATGTTTATCTTCTTCGCCCTCTCCGACATTTTTTTTTCCTGCTTAAGCAAAGAAAAGCGGTGTTTTCTTACCTTCATTTTGTTAGGCTGCTTTAAGTAACGATGTGGCACTCCCACTCCCCCTCTCCACAGAAAGCCTCCCCCCCTTCCCCAATTAAGCAGCAGCCGGAGTGCTTTTATTCTTTTCCGTACTTCATTCTTCATCTCTTCATCTCTTGTTTACTTTTATGTTGGTGTTGAGAAAGGAAAGGAAAAAGGCGGAGGAGAAACAAGAACGGCGAGAGTTTGTTCGCTGGAGATCTTTGGTGCTACCGTGCCTCCCTCCTGCCATTCGCACGGGTTCACGTTTTCCATCAGTCCCGGCTTTTATTCTGACATTTTTTTCTTTTTTGATGTTGGTTCTTGTCCGTTCTTCTTCTTGCCTTTTTTTTCTTCTTTCTGATCCTTCTTTTGCTAATGTGAAGGCTTTGAGGGGTGACTTACACGTCCACACCCTCTCTTCATTGGGTCTTCTCGGGGGTTACCAATTCTTTCTTTTACATCTCGCTTTCCTTTGATGTTTTATCTTTTTTAATGGGACAACAGGTAGAACATAAGAGTGTGGCTCTCACTCACTCGCCGTCCCGCGTGAAGGAATCTTTTTTTTGGTTTTTGTTGTTGAGATGCGGGTTTTTTGTGTGTTTTTTTTTTTCTTCTAACTCGCGTTGTTCCACGAGCTGCCGTTTGAAAGCACAACAACGAGAATGAAAAACAAATCACTGAACCCCATCTGGCACAACTGTTCTTCTTCTTCACTTAAACATCTGTTTTCTTTTTTCCCTTTCTTGTTGCTGTTTTACATCTCACCGAGCGTTTCAAAACGTTTTTCTTTTCTCTTCTCTCTTCTCTCTTTTCATTTTCTTCTTTTCGTTTTCTCTGCATCGAGAGGTAAGCGTCCACGCCGCACTTCTGCTCCACTTCCGTTGCTCAGCACGTTTCTCGGTGGCCGGGCGACGTCCCCTCTCTTTTTCTGGTTTTCAGCTTTATGTTTCCTCGCACAGCGCGACAGCAGTCTTTTCTCTTTCCCGAAGCAGCACACCTTGAAGTATCACTGCATTACAAAAAAGATCCGCGAAGAATCAAACATAATACGCGCTGTGTTTTTACATTTCTTAAGGACCTTCTCGGGCTTCGCACGCAGCACCAACATCCATAAACAGCGTCGTGCGTTCAACGCCGTGCTACAACACAAACAACGAAAAAACCAAAGAAAGGAAGCAAAAGGAGATGGTGAACGTCGCTGGTGCTGCCCCAGCGCGGCAGAAGGTTTTGCACTATCTAGCGCAGCTGCTGGGTTTCATCTTTCGATGAATAATAGTAAGAAGCCAACACACAACGTTGCGGTGAAGTTGCCCCTCTCTTCTTTTGAATAGTTTTTCTTTTATTCTGATGCTGGGTAGAGGAAAGGTGAAGTATATGGTGCCGTTCTGCGTGCACACAGCTGTCTTCCCCGGGTGTTTTGAAGTGGCAGGTCGTTGCACCACGACGAAGACGCGCTGCCTTTTTTTTCTTTGAAGAAAGTCGCAAAATAAAAAAAATGTTTTGTCTCCGTCGATATCCGTCGATATCCGTCATTTCCCTTTTTTTGTTTTATTGTTTCCCGAACAGGCAACCCCTACAGGGTGGCTACACTGGTCTTTTCGTGAGGTACGCTGCCGGGCAAGCAGTAGGAGAGGCTTTCACATCAACCTACATACATACATACATATGCGTATCTGCGTTGCTCACCTTCGCGTCTTGGGCGGGAATGAATGGAATCTCTCCTCCCCCCTCCCCTCCACGCCCCCTTTCTCTTTTTTTTTTTTCGTTGCTGAGGCAAAAAAACGCCATCGGTGGTTCAACCCCACATTCGTCTCCTCGCGTTGACGCCAAAGATGGAATAATAATAATAATTAATAATGATGCGCGAGGAAGGGGGAGGGGTGGCGCTGGAAATGCGTAGAACCGCGTCACCACTACTTCAATGAAAGAAAAGAAAAACGAAAAAGGGAAGGACAGCACAGGGAGGGCGCGCCTTTGAATCGGAGTCTTCTGCGCGAAGATGGTAGGCGGGGTGTGCGACACAGAAGTGTGGCCATCTCGCTGTTCGGGTGGAAGGCGGCTTTTGCAGAAAACATAGCGCCCCGAAAGGTCGCTCTCTCTCTTTCTTCTTTCTGTATTTCTACAAGCTGTTTTTAGCGTCTCTTCCGTCCTTTTTTTTGTTTTTCTCTTTCTGCGAAAACGAGTCGTGTTGGCGCTTGTGTTGATAGTATCGAAGCCGCAGAGCTTACCTCCTCGACTTTCTTTGCTGGCTTTCGAAACGTTGCCTCGGCTACGGTGGAGGGCCTACTGTCACTCTGCTTCTCTAATGCGGCTTTCAGCCTGCTGTGAAGGAAATACTTTAACAGCTCTTCAATTGTGCATCACAGCAAGCCTACAAACACCTCTAAAAAGTAAAACCATTTGTATCTCTTGCTTTCTTTCTTCTTTATATCCCTTTTTGGAAAAGAAAAAGTGCGGCCGTGGTGTTGCGACTACAGCCTACCGCAATAACTTCTGTTTTTTCTATCTTTTTTTTTGTTGATGTAATGCTTCAACGCTCTTCGTCGTCGTCTTCGCTTTCGAGTTTCTTTCTTCTTCTTCGGCGGCGCTTCCCGATTTGAGTGGGATAATTACACGCTTCTGGAAAAGGTATGCGCTCTGCGTGCAACAAAGAAATATATGTTTGTTTTCTCATCCACGTTGCCGTCATTTCACGGTGCACCGAGCACATTTTTTTTTTCGTTCTTCTATATGTATTGTCTCTGACGGCCAATCCTTTCTTCTTCTTGTACTTTCTTCCGTTTTATGTTTTTCTTCTGCGCGTTGCGACACTCGAACTCACCTCATCACTTTCGTCTTCTCTTTTTCCGTTTTCCCTTTGATTTTTTTCCCCTTTTACGTTCGTTCTCAGAGAGTCCTGTGCGTCGGAATCACTGCGGTGTGTGTTGATGCAGGACAGATCCACCTTGCCGAAACGCTTCTTCTTAAAAAAAAAAACCCGGCTACTCTTTTTTTCTTCTCGAACTCAAAGCTCCCCTCTACGCATGTTTTGAGCTCACGAACGCCTGCGCTTTCGCTCCATTTTTGCTCTCCTTTGTGGTCGTACACACGAGTATGTGTGCGTGTGTGTGAGAGCTAATGTTGCCACTAAAGCCACGATCCTGTAGCGATATAATCTTCTTTTTTTAATTATTATCGCTGCAGTTTTCCGCCTTCACACTATGCACTTTTATTTTTCTTCCTTTCCGTTCGATCACGTTGAGTGCTTCAAAAGCGCTAGTGTTGGCTCTTTGCGAACTGCTTTGTTTTATGTATAAGAGCCTGCCGCATCGAATAGAAAGCAGTGAGAAACAGGGGGCAAGTTCGCCTGTGCAGGCGCAGGAGTAAACGGCCTAATAATAAAATAATAGTTCTTCAGAAAATTGTTTTAAAATTAAAAAAAAGCCCAAAGAAGAAGAAAAGCTGCACGTCTGAGTTCGCAGCGCTTCCGTTGTCGTATTACCTTCCTCCCTCCCTTTCTATTGGTTTGCCGCAGCTCAGTTAGCATAAGGAGTCAGCGAAGATCAGAGACCTTCTTTGTTTTTCTTTAGGAGGTTTCCTCCGGTCATTTCTGTTCGCCAACCGGCGAAGAACACACACCCAACAACGAACACAAAACTGAATGCGCAGGGCACCTACAAACACACATTTCAAGGGGCTCACCTGCCGTACGATCCAACAGCGTTCCCGGTGGAGTATCTCAAACGAATATTTTTCATTCGACCTACGTCACGTCATTGTATGATCCGCAATCTGATTAGCGACGCTCATATCTCCTTTCCCCCTTTTTTGCTCCCTTTGAATCATCCTTGTAGTGCGATTTTGTTTTCCCTGATTGCTTCGGGGGCGTTGATGTGCCGTTGATGCTTTCTTTCTTATTCCTCACATGTTGGCAGGCAGAAAGGCCAATAATGAATGTGACGAGGGTGATGGGTAATTATTTTCTTCTCCAAACAGAAACCCTCCTTTCTCGTTCTCAATTGCGTGCGTGGTAGAAGAACATTATCGGAAAGATAATCATGACTTGACGCAATGAGCTGTGTGGACGGTGAAAGAACAAGGAAGAAGAAGGAAAAACTTCTGTTTTCTTTTCCGAAGTACTTCTTGTTTCTAATGGATGTCTATTTACAGCTGAAAATAATAAAAGAAAACAACGCCAGCTGAAAACGGTGTTGTTGGCAAAAAAACCGAAAAGATGACTCTCGGCGTGTTGAGGGAGCGGCGCACGAGCGTTCAAACGAAAACAGCCAAACGAAACCCGTCAACGGCAGTGGGAAAGGAGAAACAAACAAACAAAACAACCCCCAACGTGTTTGTTGATTCCGAGAGGAGGCTTTTTTCTTTTTCTGTTGTTCTGGATAGCTCTCTGCTGTTCTATTCCACCATTCCGGGTGACGCGACCTTTTTTTTTCGCTGGGAATTCGTACCCCTCATGACTCGTGGAACTGCACGATCTCTTCAGCGTATGAGCCGTGTGTTGTGGCCGACGACCGCTGTTTTTGTTTTGTTTGTTTTGCGTTTGTTTTCTTACTCTTTCAATTTCGGTCCCGTTTTTCACGCCGCCGTTTTTCCCTTCTAGCTGCTTTTCTTATTCTTATTCTTATTCTATTCTATTCTATTGTCAAACTTTTTTTTGCTGTTGATGATTCCGAATAACTGAACTTCTGCACGTTTCCGTGAGAGCACGCGAAACTTGCTCTCGGAACGCGCTGCTTCTCTGCAGCACTTCGTTAACCGATCGGAACAAAGGGAACTGGTGGAAGCAATATTCATACGACCACTAGCAGTGACGCCAACGGAGGAGGGAGGGCGTGTTTGTTCTTGCGAGTTTGAATAGCGCCCCCACCCCCTCACCGGAGAGGACGGTGCGCGTTTCAAATAACAATAAAAAGGTGTACACATAGGTGTCCGTATCTTTCCCAAAGAGCCCAGGCCAAAACGTGCTGCAGAACCGAAGTTATGAAAAGAATGTATTGAAAAGAAAATACCAATATATAGAAAGAAGCGTTTTCCCTCGCCCTTTTTGTTTTTGAAAGGCGCACGTGAGGGGTAGCACGGAAGCAGGTCAATACGCTCTGCGCCACGTTCTTTGGAACGGGGGGCGTTGTTGTCGTTTGCTCTACTTCGACGTACGTAGAATGGGTGATACGCGTCGAAATTCTCGTTGACGCATGGGGAGCGCACCGTACGCGTTGAAATCATTTCCCCCTTTTCCCCGGCCCTTTCGCGGCAAAAACAAATGAAAAGATTCTCTTGTTGCGCGTACGGATCACTGAGGAGGAGCACACACGATGCACTGGCTGCAAAGTCACTTTTAACCCCCCCCTCTTCCCTCCCCTCCCCTCACATTCTCCATTTCTTCATTTTCTCATTCCATTTTGTTTTTCTTCTCTCGTTGTGCTGCGCACGTTTTCCAACTGCGTTGCGGCGCTGCTGTACCTGCCTGAAATACACATATGTCTGTTTTTGTGATGCATGGCACGTAGGTTTTAAAATAATCAGCGGCCACAGCAGTCCCACCGCGACATCAGCCTTCCCTGCGGCTTAAGAAGACGAAGAAGAAAAAGCGCTGGAGGTCCGTCTGCCGCTCGAGCGCCACGTTCTTTTCGACTACCCTTGCGGAAACTACAGGTGTGATGGCAACAGGAAGCTACATCCGAACGCGCCTCTTCTCCTTTCCGCTTCCACGACACACACACCCACCTCGATCAATCATGACCACCGACAGGGGCGGCTTGGCAAACCTGCTCGTCACCAACCTGGCACCCAGGGTGGACGATACCGCTCTCCGGATGGCCTTCGAACGCTTCGGCACCATCGCATCATCGAAGGTGATGTACGACAACCACACAGGAGAAAGCACCGGAACCGCGTTTGTATGTTTCGCCGCACAGGCGGAGGCGGAGGAGGCTCGTTGCCAGATGCACCGCTCCGAGTTTCGCGGCCGCAAGATCTGCGTACGGCGGGCAAAGACGCCGACATCCAGCGTACTCACGGACGAGGATCGCTTCCGGCTACGCAAGGGTTTCGTGCGCAACGTTCCGCTGGACGTGACGGCGGAGACGTTGGCGGAGTGTGTCTCGCGGTACGGGACCGTGCTGCGTGTGCAGCTGCGCAAGGACTCCATTGCCAACGCGGCTGACCCACGCCAAATCGCCTTCATCACATTCGCTGAGGGCGGCGCCGCGATGGCGATGTGCAACGCGCTGCATCACACGCTGCCCTTCCGCAGCTGCTTCGGTGTGCCACTGCTGTGCAACGTACGGCAAGAGGAGACGCCCTCGGAGGGGCACTCCTCCTCGGAAGACTTGCCGATGGGAACTGCCGCACCGTCTTCCGTTGTCATGGTGCAGGCCGGGCGGTACCGCCACGACCCGTACCGCTTTCCCTTTCTGACATACCTGCAGTAATCTCGTTCTTTCCTCACACGGGTCCGCTTCCCTCACCGCACGTCGTTGCCCTTGCGCGTCTTAGCGTGTGCTTCTTTTTCCCTTTTAGTAAATTACTGAAGAGAAAAAGAAGCACACGCTAAGACGCGCAAGGGCAACGACGTGCGGTGCGGGAAGCGGACCCGTGCAATTTAATGCATTTTTTAGTTCGCTGTATTGTGCTTTCTCCCTTTTTTGTTTTTCTTTTCTCTAAAATGGTTTGCGACCTCTCGGAGCTGGGATGAGCTCCGCTCGCGAAGGTGCCTTTATTGTTTGTTTATATCGATGTGGCTTCCGTGTTTCTTCTCTTCTTGTTTCCTCGCGAGGTTGGGCGGAGCAGCCTCTCTACTCACGTTGTCCTCCGAAGCGCATTTCGCGGTCTCGGACGGTGTACGCGGAGTGCAACAAGTCACCCCGTCGTGCAACACACCACGGAGGGCGGTAAGGACCCATACACACGCGGAGAGGGAGCGGAGGCTGACGGACGTCGATGATTGGAGGCGGCGTCTCGCTGTCTCGCTCTCTATGTGTGTTTCGTGCGGTGTAGCCCTTATCGTTCCTTCTCTGTTGTGTCAACTGCGGTAGCATTTTTCATGTTTCTCTTCTATGCTTTGCTTTTGTTGCTGTGCTATCAAAAAAAAAAATTCAAAATAGCAGCATCGAGCGCCATCCCACAAGATGGAGCTCTTGCCCTTTTGTCCGCGCCCTCGAAGGGTGGTCCACCCTCCCTCGAGGGGACTGACGCAAGGACAAGAGCTCCATCTTGTGGGATGGCGCTCGATGCTGCGCAGCGATGTGCTGTCGAAGTTCTTTGTTTCTTTTTTTTTTGGTTTTGACCACATTGATGATGAGTCCTTTTCTTCTATAGAGTCTGTGATAAACCTTTTTTGTTCTTCAAGTTGAGAAGACACGTGAACACAAGAAGACACACGCACACAGAGGTGCGCGTTGATGTGGCGTCACGCCGGCGCTGATGCACCGGTCGTGGTGCGTGTTGACGTGGGAGCCGGGACGCTACGGACGAGAGGCGCCTGCTCGGTGGGAGACCCGTCGTCGCGCAGGGATTTTCCTGCACGGCGTTTGTGGAGAGCGTGTCTGTGTGTGTATGGGCCGATCAGCGGTGTCAGCCGTCGCCTCGTGGTTCTTCTCCAAGACCCACAGCTGCACCTCGAGGCCGTCACCGCTGCGAGGGCGAAGGAGGCTTTCGCTTGTGCCACACTTCCCATCTCATGCATCTTCCACTTTCCTGTTGGTGTCTCCTCCCCGGCTTTCGACGCTCTTCTCTCCATCTTCGATTATTTCAATCCACGCATGCGCACACACTCTCGCGCCTCTGCCGCTGTCACAGAGTAACTGTTTTCTGCCCAAGTGAACCTTTCGCAAGTCCCACTGCCACGATAAAGCTCTGTCCACGGTGCACGTACATCCAACCACCAGTTCCAAAAGTTACGCGGAGTCGATTCAACGTAGTGTAAAAGCACTCACTCACTCACTCACTCTCTCTCCCCCCCCCTCCTCCTATTCGATTACGAATCTCTTTCGCTGCTCGTTTGGTGCTGTCTGCTGTCAGCTTTAGATATATAAACGTATATATCCGACTGCTCTTTGCATTCTTTGCTTGCAAAGCGAAAGACCCGAGAAGCGAGCCCCTTTCTTTCTTTCATTCCTTTCTCCCGCCTTTTTCCCTTCACTTTTATTTCTTCTTTCTTTTGCTTTGCTTTTTTCCTTCTGTGCTTATTTACATCAACAGCGAATTCGTTATACTGTCTTCTCCTCTCCTTTTTATATCGCTATTTGTGAAATATATATTTCTTCCTCTTTTGCTTATTACTGTTACTATTATTATTATTATTATTTCCTGTTCGCTGGAGAATTGCGGCCACGCGTTTTGGGTCCGAATTCAAGTCTTTTGCACTTCTTGCGTCTCACTGCTGCTTTACGCGAGAATTCAAAAATTGCTTTGGTATATAAACGGTTTCCCCGCTTCCACCCCCGCACACTCGCAAGTACCTGCTCTCCTCGTCTCTCTACCTTTATATACCCGTAGAACGTCGCTGCTGTGTCACCTCACTGAGTCTCCTGCTTCTTCGTTACCCTCGATCACCGTAGAACACGACAGGACCAAAACCACCTTCGACTCCAACATCTCGAAAAGGAAACACGATACCAAAGAGAAAATCTTCGACATTGTCCGCGCTCTTTTCCCTTTTTGCGATCACCCCCTGCTCGCCACCGTCATGTGCCACGTCGCCACTCCCACTTCCACTCCCACCGCCATCGCGATGCCCCCGCAGGTGCTGTCCCCGACATCGATGTCATCGCACAGCGTGACGCCGCTGCGGTGCCCCACCGAGTTGCAGTTCTACACCCCCAGCAGCACGAACCTGTTTGTCCGCTACCTCCACGGCGAGGTGGACGACAGCCGCCTGCGCGAGATCTTCTCCGCCTATGGACGCATTACGTCCTCGATGGTGATGCGCGACATCCACAGTGGGCAGAGCCTCGGCACCGCCTTCGTGCGCTTCTCGAAGCACCAGGAGGCACTGCGCGCGCTGTGCGAGGCCCACGGCATGCCCCTCTTTGGCAAGAGCATCTCGGTCCAGTGGGCGAAGCAGCAGCACGACGACACGCCCGCCGGGCAGGAGCGGCTGAAAATGAACAAACTGTTCCTGCGCAACGTGCCGATGGATGTGTCGGAGCAGAGCCTGGTGGACCTGGTGGCCGGCTACGGTACGGTCAAGAAAGTGACGATGCACAACGACACGGCGCCGATCATGGACATCAACGCGCGTCGCCGCATTGCCTTCATCACCTTCGCGGAGGAAGGCGCCGCCGAGTGTGCGTTGCGGGCAGTGCACAACACCTGCCCCTTCCCGCTGTGTTGCGGGGTGCCGCTGATGTGCAAGCTGATCAACGACGCCATCAAGTCGAAGAAGCATCGCGTGCGCAGTGACAGCGCGGGCAGTCAGTCCAACGAGGCGAGCTCCGTGGCGATGATGACGCCTGCTGTGGTGGTGCCGACCGTGGCTTCGACGGACGTGTCGACGCCGGCCTTCACGCGAGCTGCGCTGCGTGAAGGCAACCTGTGCAAGCTCTCTCTCGAGTCCCTCACCACGGCTCGCTCCTCGCCGTTCGTCTCGGGGGCGGATGAATCCATGTCAACGACGCCCAGCCGCTCCTACGGTGCCTCGCAGTGGGACATCGCCCCGGCCGTCTCCACGCCCGTTGGCGCCTTCGCCGGTTTTATTCCGATGCCGGTCGGGACGCCGTCCTCCACATCCTCGCGGCGCGGAAGCCTGAATGAAGCGACACAAGGCTCGCGGTTCTGCCACAACCCATATTCCATGGGCGGCGAGAAGATCTTCGTGTGAGGCGGCACGGGAACACCAAACAGGTGCTTTCTTCTCTTTCCTCTTTCTCTTTTTTTTGTTTTTCCCTGGGAAGCTTTCGTTTCTTCATCTTTCCCCCCTACCCAAGTGAACGTGCCCGTTATATACGTCTTTTACTCTACTTGTATTAAAGGAAAGAAAGAAGGAAAAGCTAGTACGGCTGCTGTACCCCTTTGTAAAGGCTCTTTCCTTTTCCCTCCCTCTTCGCTTTAGCCCCCCCCCCCCTCCCCATCCTCTGTTTTTACAGTTCAGCGGTGTGCGTGTCGGTGTTCTCGGGTGTGCTGGTGGGACGGCTCGATCGTAGAGAGACTTGCGCCGACCCCGCTCTTCGACAGGACGCGACAACGACCGTGGCAGGCAGCGGGACCTAAAACTCCCCACCCCCAAGGAAGGGAAAGAGAGGGAGAAGAAGCTGTCTTCTTCTCCCCCTTTTTTGTTTTAGCAAGGATTCGTACACCCCTTCCGCAACCGCAACTCATACCCATACAAAGGAACAACCCTTTTGAATTTATCACCATATATATATATATATATATATATATATGTTGTCTTCTGTCTTTCTTTC